GAAGTTTAGTTTGGGACCTGGTAATTGTTTGGCACATTGTTGTATTATTATTCTAATTCAGACGAGAAAAGAATATTTTTCTTGTCACAAAAGAAGGAAAGTTCCACGTGCGTAACTTCAGCGTTTCGCTGGCGTTGTCATTAGCCTGGTAGCTATTGTTGAGTCAATCGTGGTCCCTATTGAGAGGGCATTCTTCACAATGCCCGACCATTAATCATGTTTAGTTTGTTTCTTTTTTTGGAAGGGCATTTATAAAATTTAATTTACTTCGGCGCCATTGTTGTACGTATGCCGTTCTTGGAATGCTTTGTGAGTGCGTTTCTCTAAAGGACGAATCAGTTAAGTGAAGCATTAGGACGCCTCCAAATTGAGATGGAAGCGTTGCAGTGGCATTTTCGTTCGCAATTTTCACACAATATTTAGAAAAAAGTTGCATCGCCACTCTCATGACACACGCGCGTCACTTTTGCATATTGCTTATAATTTAATGACGACTATCTGAACAGTCTTAATTTTTTAGAAAAATGAATATTCTTCATTCTTCCCGTATTCTCCCATTATCTTTCGTATAATTTTATTTCTTTTCTATCCTCCATGATAATTTTCCACGTTGACCCCGGTCAAAAGTTTGTTACTGAACGAAGGAAATAAATAAAAGACCGTTGGTTCCACCATCTAAGTGGAACCACGAGTATTTGAAAATCCTACTGGACCCACTTGTGGAACCAAACAGTGGGTCCAACAGTCCTAAAGGACGAAAACGATGCCTAACTTTCTTTTACTAAACGATTTTATATTTTATTTCCGGCTAAATAAAACTTCCTAAAATGTTTCCAAAAGAAAGAAAATAACATGAGCCCTAAAATTATATTTTTGTAATGTCATAAAAAAAAAAAAAAAATATATATATATATAACCGTCAATGTGAATAATAACCGCCGAAGTATTTTAATAACCGGCAATCTATCTCACCACCGCTCTACATGTTTTTCAACCCTGACGTTGGCGAAATCGTCGTGCAAATCGACGGAGCCATTGATACAAAAGTTGAAGTTGAAGTTGAATGATGACTATATTATTATTAATGAATTATTAATTTTTTTTAATTTATTGTGTATTTTTAATTTTATAATTTTAATTTATGTTTGACGATCTCAATATCATTTCTTAATACTTTGACATGTAGTGTAATTTATAATGTAACATATTTGAGAAATGAATAATCTAGTCTAATAAAAAATGAAAGCAAATTAATTTGCTACTTCGTGAACCAAGTGAATGCAGTTAATAATGCATGAAAAAATATTCGACACAAGCGCAGCTATTTTGAACGATTTAGTCTACATTAGGTTCGCGAAGTAGCAAATTAATTTACTTCCATTTTTAGCTCAAACACAGACATTTCTCTTTCATTTCAATTCACTTGTATCTTTTTATTCAAGCGTGCAACACACAGGGAACGGGTACGGGTCGGGTCGGGACCGCGGCGGGTCCAATTCCTTGTATTATTCTAGCATTTAATGGTTAATATTGGATTAATTCTGCGTTCGTTACAGTCAGTTTGAAAATGTGCTGGACAGGAATGGCACAGAGTTACGTGCACGTCCAGTTTAACACTTAGGGTGTCTTCTACAAATACACGTGAAAGGGTTGTAACCCTAACTAGCCGTGAACAGGTTCACGGCAATGAAATGGGAAACTTCCGGTCCACAAAATTTATTCAAGAAGTAAAGTTTAAAGAAAAGGCTGTAACAATAAAAAGGTAAATGTAAAAAAACAGGTACAACAGTATAAAACACTCTCTACACTTTATTATTAAGGCACTTACCCGTTACCATTAAATGGGCCGAGTAACTGAATTACAGAAATAGATACACGAAGGCTTATAAATTATTACACATGATTAGCTTATTAACAGCTCCGACCATTGTGGCGGTCGAGCTGGGAGTGACCGTGGTACGAAAACAAAATGAGAAAGTGAAGGAAGATGGAACAATTCAAATTTAAATACATGTAAAATAAAAAATGATAGGATACAAGAGGAGAGAGGCGATACAAAAAGGTGAGATGCCGGTGAAAGGAGGTCACACCGTCACATACGGAACTAGACCCGCCTCGGTCCCGACCCACCCGCATTCGCCCTTTATGTGTTTCAAGCTTTAGTGAACTAAAAATTAATAAAACGCCACAGTCGTGCCGCTGCAGCACTTCTACAAGCGTCTATTTTGAAGGCGCTCTTATACGTATCACTGCGCACGTACGCACGTGTCTTCTCTAAGGACTGGGTCTAAGTTACGGGTTAGGGACTTCACAAACCGTGAAATACACTGTCAAATTCTTGCTACGACGGCAAAGCGTAGAAGTTCTACGAATTTCTACGAATTGCTTGATATGTCGCACACCGAGAATGATAACGTTACTATGCAAAAAACTATTTATTTTTTATTTTTAATTACATCTTAGATTTGAGAGTACGAACTTTATAATGCAAAAACCCCCGTGTACGTTGTTTTCGTAGAATTTGCTACGTGACGTAATAACGTCATGCTGTATAAGGGAAACGGCGCATAGGACACAGCGCGATACTGACATGTTTTTCCGTAGTGTTGTATCGCGGAGTTGTGAAACAATTTACGAGTACTAGTAACTCCGTGAAGTATATTGGCATTTTTTGGATAGTGTCATTTTTGCATTAAGTCTAATATAGTAAAGAATTGCTGAGCTGAGGTCGACATTGGTAAGTGGATATAGAGTACTTTATCTTTTTAACCGACTTCAAAAAAGGAGGAGGTTCTCAATTCGACTGTATGTTCTTTTTTGTATGTATGTTACGCGATAATTCCGGTATTTGTGAACCGATTTTCATGATTCTTTTTTTGTTGGAAAGGGGGTACTTCCATAAAGGTCCCATTTCATTTTGAAGCAAGTCATCCACCTATAAGGGTGGCTGTTCACGCATGAAGATTCATTTTTATTAATAGCGCCTAACTTTAATTTAGGAGCAATTATTTTAATGGTTGATTTTGCTATTTCTCCAATTCAAGGCGTTTTTCTCTCAATATACTTTGAGTAGTGAGAACCGATTATCTCCAGTGTCAAGTCCTGTATAGTGGCGAACTAGGGGATATTTCAATAAAACTTAGCAAACAGACGTAATTCCACGTACTTTTGAGGTCGGTTTTTTAGTACTCTGTACTGAGATTATTATTTTCGCAGTTTAAAATAAAATTTTATGACAATTTATTTTTATGAATCCTTTGTGACGATATTGCATAATGAGAAGATATTAATTTACGTGAAAAGATAGGAATAGTGATATAAAAAGAAATTATCAAAAATACCTTTATTGTGGTAAGTGAAAATTTGTATAACACTTCTAAAATTATGTAGGTTCACTTCTAATTTAGCTGAATAACGCATTAAAAGAAAAAAGAGAGCTGCTCATTAATAAGTCGTATCCGTTGCGGCACGAATGAGATTCTGCGCGTTGTGGCTGGTAGAGTGGATTGCCCAATCATGCTACATTGTATGAAACTGCGTTTAAAACCATGTCGATGATTTATTTGATATTTAATTTAATTTGTTTAATTATTCTATGTTTTTAAGTTGCATTTTGTTTATTTTAATGTGTGTAAACCTATTGAAGTATCTAAGCTAATATTATAACTGTAAAATATGGACTGTAGTTGTCTGAGAATAAATGATTTTTGATTTTTTTTTTATTAAAAATGTTCGCTGTGTAAGAAATTGCAATTATCACAATTTTCAGAACTTTAATTGTTCATTACGCAAAACCAAAAATTTTGCATTGTGTCACTGTCATTTTTAGTGTGCGATGTGGAATTAAAAAGTTATCATTCAGCATACGACTCGGCAATAGCCTCGTTTACACAGTCACTCTATTGCGCGTGATCAGGAGAGTACAGGATTGCGGGAAAGCCTGCACGCGCAATCGCGCGCGATTACCTGTTTGAACTTTTGTAATTAGAGATAAGTTTACGGAAATTAACATTCTTACACAAGCCTCACAGTACATTTATGAAAATGTGATTTATGTTAAAAGGAATAGTAATTTATTTATGAAAAATAGTGACAGACATAACATTAATACGAGGAATAGAAATAAACTAGCTTTTCTTGATAGTCGTCTTCACAAAGTCAAAAAATCATTTAAGGGGCAATGTATACGCTTCTATAACAAGATTCCGGTTGATATACAAAATTTGCCTTTCACGAGGTTTAAAACTATAGTGAAAGAAAACCTTTATACTAAAGGTTATTATACAAATTCTGCGTACTTGGATGACAAAAATTCGTGGTAGTAACTCATGGAGGTAGTCTCGATCTCTGATGTTTCAATAAAAAATAAAAAATACTGTAAATGTTATTTACAAAGAGCAACCTCTAGAGTTTCTTGCTCATTCTTCTCAGGGGAATCTGCCTTACGAATGAGCGGTAGAGTTCAACCATTGTGACGATTTCAAGTGTAATTATGCTTACCTATGAAATAAAGATTATTTTGAATTTGAATTTGAATAAGCTAAAGTTCTTATGCGCGCGAATGCTTGTGTTCGTTTTTGTGACAACGGAAAGAGCGACGCGTGTTGGAGTGCGCGTCTGATGAGCACAATCGCGCGGTCTTTCCCTTTTCCTTCCAACGTCTTTCTTTACACGCGCGCTCAATCAATTGCTGTATCACGCGCGATAGAGTGTCTGTGTCCCGCTATTGCTATGACAACGACGACTTCACCGGTGTAGTCTTGTAAATCTGGCATTGGGTTTACATTTATGACTTCTAAAACCATAATCGTTTTGAAGGTACTCGATCACCTCTGAGGTAACGCTCGGACTAAATTGAGATTTATAACATTCTAAAAGACCTTCAATTTTTTTAACCTACAACAGCATTTAACGGAAACTAAAACTACTGCATAGTTAAATAACAATAATTCAAATAAAACCAGAAAATACCATCCACAAAAAATAACTACAAATATTTATTATAAATTTTACATGAAACATAGATCATACAACCTTGGTACCAAATAACAAACACAATAAAATACCATATACCAAATAAGCAATATTTAATAAAAACAGTACATAATTAAAAACGAAGCTACGCTTAATGAATATTTTATTTGGTACTGGTGTGCGTTGGACAGTCAAAGTTAAAATTAAAAACAATTAATCCTTAATCTTTAATCATAACTTACTAATCACTATAAAATAAATAAGTTTAAATAAGTACGGCCACTTATTCTAAAGAAGTACGGAATTACAGTTAAAGAATTTAATAAAATGCGTTAAAAAGGGAATCTATACAAGTATACACTGTTACCACATGTAAAAATACAATTGAAAAACCGCATTGAAAAAGTCGGAAATATAAATCCCAAATATTAAATGGAGAATAGATACACGAAGAAGAAGAAAGAAACATAAAGATGTACTTTGTGGGAATCCATGTTAATAAAAACGGAAGTAAACTAATTTGCTATTGTGCCAACCCTGGGAAGGTTCGAATAAAATAACTGGCTTTTGTTGAATATTTTTTTCATGCAATTAATTACAGTAGAGCTCCATGTGAAAGAGTTCGTCCAGGAAAGTACTGCCACCTTACCTATTTCTGCCGCCAAGCAGTAATGTGAGCATTACTGCGTTCAGGTTTAGAAGGGTAAGGGTGTTGGTGAAATTACAGGCACATGGGACTTGTCAACTTGTCTCAGTAGAGAACAAATAAGGTCTCGGAGTGACGGGCGCAGTTTAAGTGCCCCTAAGATCTTTGCGATTTGAAGCTCTGAGTGGGTGGGATACAGGCGTGTCGCTTACCACCAGGCGCATGACTTGTTCCTGTCACTTCGTATTATAAAAATGCGTTTATGTTGTTTTTTAATTTAATTTGAAGTGAAGGTGAGGAAATTATATATTAGTTCAATAATCAACACAAGCGCAGCCATTTTGCATTTTCACCGGGTTCTCGGATTAGCAAAGTAATTTATATCCATTTTTATTTTAAGTACCTATGACCCTATTACGCTTTTAACTCTCTCTGCGTTTCAACCATGCTAGTTACTAAATTTTGAGCACCTTTACCTTCTTGATCATCTTTCTCGACAAGTGCTCTGTTTATAATATTAGCACAATCCTTATTATCTATGATACTAACGTGGTTACCTTCCAAGAAGTGTACAGTTAGATTATCAGTAAATTTGTCCAAACCATAATTCTCTTCGATGACAACGTAGCCAGGGGTTTCTTTAGGACGCAAAAGAACGATAGAAGACTCAAGTTTCTTAATATTCTTGAAGTCATAGTCGAGAAGAACTCTAAGTCTATTGTAACTGGCATTAGCAATGTTTTTGATGAACTTGGGGCTGTATTTAGATTGTACAGGACATGCTTTGATTGCAGCGTCAATTCTATCGTCGAATGAATCAATGTCGGCAAGAATGTTCATTAAATCTTTGGTGGCGTCATTATTTGGAGCAATAATTTCCATCGTTTGACAAAGGAGACCGTTTTGAAGTTGCTTTTCATCCTTATGGCTTACTGTCATTGTTAACAGGGCGTAGAGGAATTCCGGAGCGCCGTCAATACAAAAAACTACGCCCTTGTGCCCTGAAAATTATATGTAATTTGTTAAACAGTTCATAGTAACAATTAATTATAAATATTACATAGCGGTGCAATAGCATTTTGAGTGAAAATAAATTAAACATTTTCTTTTTCGTAGATACATCATGTGTATTTGTTGTCTCAAAACAAAACACCATTCTGGGCTCTTTGCAGGCCTCATGGTCGTGGCTACCTGATACAGTGTTGGTCATCAACCATTATGTCTAATATTATAATACTATTTTAAAGATAATATTAATAATTTTTGCAACTATGGTTCAGAACAGGGTGGCTTACATTAACAATAGGGTGGTTTATATTAAGAATAGGGACCACGGGCCCTATAAAGACTTCGGAACGTTCGTTTGTTTTGATGTACCAAAAAAATCTCAATACTAGTACTGAATACGAGTAATCGTGAAAACCTAATAATTAGATTTTATAAAAGATATATTAAGATGTCACCTTCTTTTTCTAATCTTGAGGCAAGCTCCAGCGTAAGTACGACTCCAAAACTGTAGCCAAGTATCTTGAATGGTGCACCTGGTGCAATTCTCGTTCGTACAGACTGCAACAAAGGTTATGTACACAATAATGCAGGCAGAAATACACAATAACACTTCTCGCTGACTGTATCGAAGAAGAAAATTATGTACGTACCTCATAGAGTGCGTCGGTCATTGCTGCAAGGTCCTCACCGTTACGTTCCGTAGCGAATTGCAATCCGCAGACCTTGGTCTTAAGCCTGCGACATAAAGGCTCCAGACCTGAGGCACATCCTTCCAGACCAGGTAAAACGAATAAAGTGTTTTCCATATCATGAATTGCTTCTTCACCCTGAACAAAAGGATATAAATTTGAAGACCGAAAAGTGTTGATACTTAAAGGACATAAAGTACAATGCCAGTTTTAGTTTCAAGTACTGAGGTCTTTATTGTTTTTTTATTACTTTAACTGTCGAGAATTATGTCAATTGTAAAGCTAGTGATGCTCCGTCCATTTTGTTTAGTTTAACATTTTATTTTGCTTCTATTTTATAGCATTATTTTAACATTTCTGTTTTGAGTTCCACATCAGGCATTCGTTAAGCCATACTAATGTACCTCAGATCCATCGCTGACCATAGTTGGCATGTAGATTACAGGTTCAGAGGCAGTTTTCTCGTCGCCGAAGTTTCTAAGGAGAACCCTGAAGCCAGCAGTTCCATCAGCCGCCGGGCGTGCCGTCGCTGATGTGGATGCTGCGGCCTCACGTTGCGCTGTTAGCTCTACCAACCTTGGGAAGGAAGGTTACCATATGTTATAATATAAAATTAACGGGACTTACTCACGTAGTATTTTAGTCAGAAGCGGTCCGACTAGTTTCAACTACAATATAATAATCGATGGTCTTCATCAGGGGTTGAGTGCAATGTTCGAACGTTCGAACCCCTGATGAAGACCATCAATTATGGTCAGAAGCGGTCCAACTATTTTCAACTATTACTATTATATAATGTGCTATTATTACGTGCAAAAGCACAAATAACACGTAACCCTATCATATATATAATAAATAAAGATAAATAGATAGATTTAGGATGAGAATGTGGATGGCAGGGAAGGCAACTAGTACACTCTGAGGCATGTACAAGTTATCTCAAGAAACACTTACATGCAATCATCCACTGACTCACGCTGGAACACCATGCCATTCACTCACAAAAATACACCGTCATTTACCTCTAAACATTTAAACGCCTAGCGTTGGATTAGCAAATATGGAAAAACTTACTTTAGTTTATAAAATACTGTTCTATGTACATATTTGTACTCGTATTGGAAATGTAAACAAATAAAATAAAGTAAATAAAAAAATAACAAAATGGAAGCAAATTAATTTGCTACTTCGGGAACGCAACACTTTATATGTATAGAGCCTGTTTGGGTTCGCGGAGCAGTAAATTAATTTATTTCCTTTTTTATTAAAATGGATTTCCGCAAAGTAACTCTTCAATCAATACAAAATTGCTTCGTGTTTACCAGATAAACAGAAGTTCATACTGACAAATAGGTGATCGTAAGCGACACGCATGTCCATACAGTTGCAGTACCACTCAGAGCTTTAAATTACAAAGATGTGAGGGCACTGCTACGGCGCCCGACGTCCTGAGACATAAGTAGACAAGTCCCATGTGCCTGTAATTTCATTAGCCCCAATACTGCTTGGCTGCTGAACCTCTCACTCATCCTGCCACTTGGTATCATAAAAAAGCTCTGATACTAAACTTCCACTTACTCAGTTACAAAATCCACGTTATTGGGAATGGATTTTTATCCTGGTCTGTGAAATCTGTAAGCAACCAGGTCTATAAAGAACAACTCACCTAGCAAAGGTAAGGGTACGAATATCTTGCGCTGTCAGGAAGATTTCGAACTCTCTTTCAAGGGTCTGTTTTATTTCCACAGCCATCATACTGTCCATACCCAATTCAGCCAGAGATACCTGCTGTGATACTGTCTTCAGATCCTTGATACCTGTTGGAAAGAATAAAATTCGATAGTAACCCAAAAAATATTGTGCCTATATCCTGTTCTTAACTTTGAACTCAAAAAGTGGTCAGTTATAACTTTGTAGCCTTTGTCTGTGAGTGTGTCTATGGCATCGTAGCTCGCAAATGGACGATCTCATCCCAAATGGGTATTTTTTTGTTTGAAAGTTTCTTTAACAGGATTCTTAGATATGTTCGAGGAACATTTGTTCAGCTGTTTAAAGTCCATCAAGACTTTTAACAATGGACTTGATCTGATGCTGCAAGGAGAAGTCCTACAGACTATTTATCTCCTCAACTACTTATAACAGCACATATTGTTTGGGCTCATTGAGATCTCGACGAGTGACTTTATTAACATTTTTAGAACTTGCTCTTTTTTATCGAGGTTTTTTTAATTTAAATTTAATTTTTATTATGTACCCGTTCTAATTTATTTACAACGACTTTCTAGATTGGGACAGGTTCTGAAAATTCGAGAATTAAATAATAATAGAAGTAATATTTCGTATTTTTTGACATTTCAAGAGTTTATAAGGGAATCCGAAATTTTGGACACGGAATTCTATATTGAAAATTTAACCAACGGTGACTATGGTAATAAATACCATTTTATGAAGAATTGTTTACCCATAATCTGAGCAACTGCGTCTACAATGTTTCCACAACCAGTTCCTCCAGCTTTCTTTTCCGCTACGACGATAGAAGACACGACAGGAGCATCTTGTTTCATAAATTTGTCAAGAGATAGGAGACACGAGGAGATCCTTTGCTGGAGAGTACCACCTATCTCCAGTTGAACGTCGTCATCTTGCATATCGGCTACTAGACCAACCTGAAACAATAGTCCCGTGATTCAAGTTCCCGTAGTTGCTGCAGGCTACCATAAATCTGACAACAAATTGGCAAAATTCGTTTAAAAAAAATCGCGAAAATATCGTAGAGCACAAAAACTTTTATACACTTCTGAAGTTGTGAACTCCCATAGGCTTTAACTAGTGTGTTATGGTGTATATGGCGCGTGACACATAAATCTCAAGTTACTTACATCGCCAATAGCTCCCCACTGAATAGCCAAAGCAGGTAAACCAAGTTTCTTTCTCCATTCGCAAATTCTTTCCATGACGGAGTTCGAAAAACCGTAATTCGTCTGCCCAGCGTTACCACGACCACAAGATACTGATGAGAAGACTACAAAGTCCCTGAAGGAAACAAATTCAATATTAATCATTAATCGATGTTAATGACATTGCTGTTGATCAATAAACAAGGACTATTTAATTAGTACGTTCATGAAAATAAAAAGATTTTTTGAAGACGCCAGAGAAAGATGTTTGCTAATATAAACAGATTATAACAGAATTAGCCTACACTTCCGATTTTTTTTTGGATAGACCTTTTTGTCTCCTTTTGCCATTGTCCAATAATATTAGTTATGTCAGTCAATCTGTACACGTAAATGTAATTGTATGTGTTCTGACATGATAATATGTAAGAGGCATCAATTTTGTTGCAAATGTAAAACGAATTTTCAAACGTACTTGAGGTTAGGACATAATTTCTTCGATAATTTGTCCAAATTCATAGTTGCCAACGCCTTTGGCCCGAATGATATCTGGAATGTCTCAGGTGTCTGATTTTCGAAAATGGAATCTTTTAGGATGACAGCCAGATTGAAGATGGCGTCGACTTGTCCCATGGAGTTGGCTAACTTCAGCATTTTTTCGCAACCTTCTTCTGTTGTGATGTCGTCTGTTGAAATGCGGACATCAGCGCCGTATGATGCCCATGTCCTGATAAACATAACACTCTTGACATCAGCACGTAAATACTTTAATTGCGATAATAAGTATTGTTAATAATCAAACAAGTGCAATATTAGTGCGTGTAGATTACTTAAATAGTTTAACATATTGTATGTAGCTACGTTAGTCCTTAAGGTATATATTATATGGATCATGGGGTTAAGAGGGAGCAGAGGAAAAATTCCTAATTTTCGATTTGATTTTTGAGGGGTATATCCACTTTAAAGTTAAAAATAAAATATTGTATGAGTAACTACACGATATATTCAAGCATAGACATTAATCAGAAACATAAAGCAAGAAAGTTTAAAAAGATAGATAAAAATCACGAAATGACCTCTAATTTTCACATTTTTTCGATTCATCCTCGAAATAATTATGTTTATGGATGATCGAGAACTGTCTGTGTTCTTTTTAATCCCTTTAGTTTTAGAGTTATTCCGCTAAAACGAATTTGGTACTTTTAATGCGCAAAATTCAACATCTCTTGTCGCATGTCACGCGAACTTCAGGCATATATTTGTTTCACAAATTTGGGCGGAGCCAACGTCAAATACTTTTTTGGCATGCTCCCTCTTAAGTCATAAATGACAAAACTAAAAAAAAAAATTATGCCTGCTGTAGAAAACTTAAACGAATTATTGATAAATTATGTGAAAACATTTCTTAATCTACTGAGCATGGCTACAAAATAGAATAAATAAAAAAATCCAGACAATAAAACCAATTCTCCTAGTTTCAACCTTGAATACCAAAATAACTAAATCTCTACTCACAACTTCACTTATACCCTTTGTATTATACAAAACCACATGTGATGTGAAATTTTATAGCTCTTCTATTTAAGCATAACAAGTTATCGACCAATGTTGTTCGTAGAATATTTGAACATCTGTTCTAAAAAGTTGTCATTTTGCGGATGTGGCTAGAGGTATACCAAGGGTGCGAAGAAACTTCCTCGTCAAGTGCCCAGAGTGCCTATCGCATTGAGTATGTAATAAGAAATAGAGACGAAATGTCATTTAATTTGTTTGAAAACTAAAACCAAATCATTACGGAGACAAATGCGCTCCGATTGGCCAGCCCGAGGTCGAAACAATTCACGAGTGTCGTCAATTGTTTCACTTTAAATTGACCAGTTTAACTTGAGCTTTGGTATAATGGACGAAAATTAAAAAAATACATAATTTCAGATTTAATTACCGATGAAATGTATTTCCGTTTGTTTTCATCGTGATTCACCGAATGGAACAGCCTCCCATAGTTAGAGATATTATCTTTTTATTACGGAGACGTACACACATGTCAGTTGTTGGCGCTGTACTATTTCAGTTTTCTAATTTGTGATTTCAGCGCAAACGAGAGTTGATATTTAAAAGTGATAAAGCCCCATTTACCTAATGAGTTGCCAGGGATGGATGGAACTTATTTTGTTTCTATTTCTGGTTATATACTCGATGGCATATCGCTATGTAACTGAGCTTCCCAAAAAGTTAAGAACTTGAATGAAAAGAAACAAGTGAATTGAAATGAAAGAGAAGTACCTCTGTTTAAGCTAAAAGTGGAAGTAAATTAATTTGCTACTTCGCGAACCTAATGTAGGCTAAATAGTTGCGCTTGTGTCGAATATTTTTTCATGACTTATTAACTGCATTCACGTGGTTCATTCATTTATTGATTGGATTTATTATATGTAGATATATTATTCATTGATTTACTTATTGATGGGATTATTCATTTCTCAATTAAGTTACAGTATATTTTACACTACATGTCAAAGTTGAAATTGTGTTGAGATTGTCAAAAAAGAATTTTAAATTATAAAATTAAAAATACACTATAAATTATAAAATTAATAAATTCGATAATAATAATATTGTTGTCATTAAAGTATGTAATAAATATTATTATTATTCATAAACGATCATTATACATGACCCGAAGAAATAGGAGGAAATGGTACAAAACTATGTCAATGAGATAAAAATTAATGAGAAATAAAACAGAAAAGAATAAAATTAACATGCGTTACCGCAAAGTAACGCCTGAATCTCACTAATAATAACTCTGTTTGAGCATTGTTTTTTTCAGTGTAGTAATACTGTAATCACAAAAGTAACGCTCTGTAATAAACGAAGAGAAGATACATACAGTATAATATACCTTTATTTATGTCCACAATACAAAACAAAGTAATATTACATTCGAGAACATATTATTATATACGCTTAGAGTAATGTAACGTGGGAGAATGGAGCCCAAATTAAGCAGAACTTGTAATATGGGTCTCCAGGCACTCAAACCCTAGGATGTCATGTTAGTGGTATTGACTATAAGAGCATTGGGGAAATATATAATTTATACAAATAAAGATTAATGGAAAATGTGTGTGCGTGTGTAACTGACACAGAATGAATATACTTTCGAAAAATTACCTAAGTCTGGAGGACTGGTATCCATTGGTGACTCCTCGTCTAGACGTTAGTACAAGCTTCCTGGCATCTCTCAAGATGAGCCAGTCGGCTAGCTCAAGTCCGAAGCCTCCCAGGCCACCTACTATGATGAACACGTGCTCTTCGTGACAGTTGTACCTGTAGGGAAGAATATTCTATTAGTGTTTTTTTAGGGATAATATTATTTGATCCTCATAGATATAATTGAACTATTGTTAATGTGCACTTTTTTAAATAAACCATTTTTTTTATGTTTGATATATACATATATTAATTGTTAGGTAAATTATAAATGAACTGCATTCAAAGTAAAATTTTCTTTTAAATTATTTTCGAAACGCAGCGAAACTAAAAGCTGTAATTATAACAGAGTTACGGAACGGCTAAAACACGTTATCTAGTCATTACGTAGACTCTGATACTATAAAAATGTAATTTAACTTTTACAAGATAGCTTCTTCAGCTAAACGATGATATTTTGTGTTATTAGCATGCGCATGAGGTATGTTTGTGTGTTTCTCACTTCTACTAATTCTAAAATAGTTTTGTTAATTTCAATATTTCTTTTATATTACTTATTTCGATTTGTGGAGTTGTCTTATTTTACGCACTAATATGCTGGGATAATACAATACAGATTTACAACGTTTTCAAGATATAATACTGAGAACAATTGTGGGAGTTTCTTGGTATATACGAAACGTGGATCTGCATCGCGATTTGAATATGGAGCCCGTAGATAAAGTGATACAAATGTATGGCGAAGCTCACGAACATCATTATCACGTGAACATAGAGGTTATACAGCTACTAGACAATACAAATATGGTGCGTAGACTGCAAAGAACTAAACCTTTTGAGTTAGTGTAGTTAAGTTATAGTGAATAAAGTACATTAAAAAGAGTTTAACTTTCTACTTAAAATGAGATTTGATGGGAAAAAGAAACGCACAACAAAAAGCAATAAAAAAAAAAAAGAAAACTATGCAGAAACATAACTAAATATCAGGAAACAGTTACTCACAAATGTTTTATGACTCTGAGAGAACATATCTACATCTCTACAAATATCATTGTAAGTTCTACCACATCGGAGACACGCGAAAAATGTCGGGATTTTGAAGTTACAAGTACAGCTTTCACAAAGATTATTTTAATTTTAAGTATATTATGAAGAAAAAACGAAGAGAGAAACAGTGATGAAGAAAGTTAGAACTATATTCCTTATTTTAAACCAAATTACAAAAGGCTTTATCCTAAATATTCCAATAATTATGAATTCAAAGTTTTTGTTCAAAGTCTACAGTTTAATGTATTAGAACCACAATGAAAAATATTACTAAGGATCTCGATAATTAAACGAAGACATGGCTCAAAGGCCTTGTATCCACGCAAAAACTCTTAATAAAAAAAATCTACACATCCTAAGATAGGGCTATTATACGTGACATTATAGGTACATCACGCTGCCGATCCTCAATGAAATATTTAAATAAATCGGTACAAAAAATGGCCTGTTCTAATGATTGTACTGTATTTTTATGCTTACCTAGGTATACAGTTAACACGCTCGAAGGTTGGTTTCACAGGAAGGGTAGTGCGTTCTTCGTCACGGATTTTCACGATCACCTGTTATAGAACCTAATCGTTAGTATTGCACACGTTATCCAACTGAAGGGTCATATATTTTTTAACCCACTTCAAAAATGGAGGAGATTTGCAATTCGACTACGTTTTTTTTGTGTTTATGCTATGCGATCACGCCGACATTTACGTTGTCAAAGTCAAAGTCAAAGGTTATTTATTCCATAGGTAAAATAAATTTACACTTGAAAACGTCACATTTAAGCTACTGCTCGTTCACTACGCTGACCTCCCTGAGAAGAACAAGCAAGAAACTCTAGGGATTGCTCTTTTCAAATAATCTAAATGCTATGGAATACACTTTGAATCAAATTTGTGTGGATTCTGGAGCCATGTCGTCTTTCCATACATCTTTATCTAACACGTAGTCTTCAATTTTGTAATATGATTTTTCGATCAAAATATTTTTAATGTAGTTTTTAGACTTAGGAAATTATAAACTTAATATATGCTCCGGAATCTTATTGTAAAAACGTATACAGTCCCCCATAAAAGAGTTGTTCACCTTTGTTAAACGAAATCGTGGTACCATGACTTTGGACTTTTGAGTACCATGAGTTTAGTCCAAATGAACAGGGTATTATCTCCAAAACACAGATTTTCAGGAGAAGCAATTTTAAAGTTTCTTCTAGCCGCTGTTGTTATTTGTTTCTCCTCACCTATATGTATTTAAAGCCTACAAATTTAACTGTATTTTCGAATACTTCTTATTCTTATACAGTTCTGTAATTTTGACACAGTCTTGAAATTGTTCAGAGCGGTCTATAACAGTAATATTATAGACCGCGTAGAGGGTAACCTCTTGAACATAAAATATTTGTGATCCAGAGTTTTAAGTAAACTGTTTATGCTTAGTACGTTTAAATTAAGGAATGAATAATGTTGAAATCGAGAATATATTGAGTGATATAAGAAGTATCTCAAAACTTTTACTCTATACTATAAATTACCTTTACAATTCTTTGAAAAAAAAAAATGTCTCAAATGTTACCTTGAAATAATCGTCTTCGTTTTAGAAATAATGTTGCGTTTTAGTTTTAATACCCTGTTCAACGAACGACGACGTCTTGACGACTACAGCTTCGTGTGTAATATTGAATACGACTGTGTTGCTCAATATTTGGCCGACACGTGCAAAAAGTTCAGAGATACTACCCTGCCTCCCGTGACATTTCACGTCCGATCGTTATAAGGCCTTGTTCATTAGAAAGATCTCGATTTGATAGGACTGCATTTTAAAGTAAAAAGTCCAAATTTTGAGATGATACCCTGTTCATTCAAGGCAACGATTTGTGAACTCGGTACCTCTTGGTGCCATTCAAATTTGAAGAAGATATTGCACCTTTAGGGAGGCAAATTAGAATTAAAAATTTCCACTGTTTGAAATTTTTTTTAAATTACCCAACAGTAGATATGGAGTAGTTAGAGTAGAATACAATATGTAATATATTTTCGGCTTCTATCTAATTTGTAGTTTACACAATTGAAGTAAAGTTTATTATTCTATGGAATATTATTTTTCTAAATTTTATTTATTTTGTTTATTATTCTAAAAAGTGGAACTATCGCGGATCTAAATTTTTTACAGGTCCTATGATCAAAGGATCACGGCTGACTATTCGGCCGACTGGTACGATTCAGCCGTGACCTTTGGAAAAGTGGTAATAAGGAACTTACCTACTGGTAATACGAGCTACTCACCTTGCCAATGTGTTTTCCAGCAGCCATGTATCTAAAAGCATGTAGGACTTCATGTTTTTCAAATGTGCAGTATGTAAGTGGACGCACTGCTCCGCTTTCAATGCCAGAAAGTAAAAGATCTTGTAGCCTCTGCCGAAGGTTTAATTTAATAAAAGAAACGGTATAGTAATTATGCCGTCGGAAATTATTGTGATAATTATAATGAGTGTTTCATATTGTCCGTAAAATTTGAAGATAAAAAATTTGTGGACTTGAACATCCATTTTAGTCTGACACTGTTTTAAATCGCCTAAACCGCAACAAAAACTAGATGTGTCATTTCTTTTTATGATGCCTAGTAACGGGACGATACACCGGTCCATAGCAGTTGCAGTACAGAGCCTTAAATCACTCACCGGTAAGGCATAATCGCTCTAAGGCATAAGTGGACAAGTCCCATGGGACCGGAACGCATTGTGTTTACATAAGGCAGCAGAAATAGGTAATGTGGTAAAAAATACTTCCCTGGACGAACTTTTTCAAAAGTAGCTCTAATGCTACTTAAAATTACACAAGTTATGTTAAGCAAGGGGAGTTTTTACCTTTCTAAAGGACCAGCTCTGGTTGAAAATGTAATCCAACATAATGCCGTGGAAGGAGGTTTCTTTCAAGAGGAAGTACATGCCGATAGGTGTGTTGTTACTGATGTCAAATTTGCCAATCTCGAGGAAGCGACCGCGGTATGTAAGACATCTTACGGAAGCCTGTGAAAAAGACACAGTGTTAAATACAGTTTGATGTCAGATGAACCTTAATAATTAAGGCGTGATTGTGAAGGTAGGCTATTTTTATTATTTATTTATGTATTCACAATATAAGTTTACAGCGGTATACAGAACACTTAAATGCTAGTCAAATAGCCTGCTCTGGAAAAATTCATTGAGGGACAAAGCAGCATATTTCAATAATTCGTTGGAATATGTCGGCAGGTGACTGTTGTGTGAGCAATTGGTTAAGCAAAGAAGGCGCCTGTGCGCCAATGCAGGTGCGCCAGCGAACCGTCGAGAATAGACTCACGCGCCTCTCCAGTACAGCACCACCGCCACGCAAATATACGCCAGGGACAAACTGACCAACCCGAGATACCATTCCAAATAGTGTGATAATAGGCTGTCCAGTCCAATCGTTCCGTACACAAACATTGAAGGGAAAAGATACGGGTAAACATTGTACATATTTTTATAGGCAAATCTTGCAAACCTTTTCTCCACCTTCTGTATCATGTCAGTTTTTGTGGTTTCGGGAGGGTCCCACAGTACCGCTCCGAATTCCGATACGCTGCGAAAGTACATGTTGTAAAGCATCAATGCTACCTTGGAGTCGGTAAAAGGATACAGGAAAGTCTATGCCTTTGTATCAGTGTGGTAACAGAGCTTTATTCTAAACTATTAGTTTATTGCGTCGCACAATATGTATTCTGTTGGATACAATTCTATTTTCATATAAATTGTGGCTGCGGCAACGGGCGACAGTGTCCGACAGCTGCAACCGGCGACTGTGTCGATTTCATATAAATGTATGAAAATAGAATAATCTGATTTTACGCGTCGCAGAACGTCCTAATTCTTGACCCTGTCATTCCAGATTCAGATTTTAACATTTTAGGTTCCTTACCTGCAGTTTGTCGTCTGACAAAGAGTTGAGGACCAAGTCGACACCTTTGCCCTTGGTTTCTCTGCGAACCATATCTTCGAAAGACGTGTCACGAGAGTTCCCGATATGGCTGTCTGTTGATGACACGATAGAGATTTATTAGTGAACACAGCGTGTTAGTCTAAAAAAACATTTCATAGTTATAATTATTAATACAAAGATGTTCGATCTTCCATCGAGTAAGAAAAAATTATTTTGATCTGGCTGGATTCGAACCAGCCTCTTCTAGCAAACCGTGCCAGACGCTATGCTAACTAAGCCACAGAACGAACCAACGGGCTTTACGAATTTATCGATGTGCTTGTTACAGATCGTTCTTTTTTTAGTTTTTAACGACTTATTGCCGTAGCGCCGTCAGTGAGAAATGTATTTCTTCTCTACCAGGTACCTTTACAGCTATCAGCAGCTGACTAAGAATGTCGCTTTACTAATTGTAATTTTTAATTTTTTATTGAATCGACGGAATGTTTTCTTAGTGTTCAATCTTTGTAGTAATTTTACAAAAACAATTGAATATCATGGTGAAAATTCGTGACATTAAATAAAAACTTAAAAGTTAAATAAGCAATGGCCGACCCCTGACAACAACAAAGGCTTTAATTATTCGGGGTTTTACGAAATAATTAGTCAAGAAAGGCCGTACACATATCTCGCAGCAGTTTCAAACCAATAGATTAAAAAATTGAAAACATTGCTTGATGAAAAGTGCTGGAGCAGAGAACACGAGACACGAGCTATAAAAGTATATAGTAGCATCACCACCACAACGTAAGTGGACCTATAAGCAGGGGTAACAGTTACAAGCAGCCGGCTTACGTCAAGTTTTTTTTATATAATAACAAGGGACGAATAAGCCGTTCAACAGTTAAGCTATAGCAGTTGCAGATCCAGTCAGAGCTTTAAATCGCAAAAAAGATAAAAGATCTGAGACACACTGCTCCTGTCATGCTGATACATTAGTTGACAAGACTCTTATGACTGTAATTTCAGCGTCGCCGATCATATTGATGCAATTATCATACCTTTAAGTTGCGGGAACAATTTCTTTATGAAAGCTCTCTTCTCGGCTGTTCCGACAGTGGTGAACACCTCACATCCGTAATGGAAAGCCACGTTGATGGCAGCCTGGCCAACACCTCCGGAGCCCGCATGGATCAGAATCGATTCACCTCGCTGTAGTTGACCTACCATCATCTGAGGACACGAGACATATTTCAATACAAGATTTTATATGATATCAGTGACGAAACGGACTAGTCGTGCGTCTGGTGGTAAGCGACACGCCTCCACAACAGTTGCAGTGCCACTCAGAGCTTTACTGCCACTGCGCCCGTCACCCTGAGAAATAACTTGACAAGTCCCATGTGCCTGTAATTTCACCAGCACCCTTAAACCTACCAAACTCGAACGCAGTAATGCTAACATTACTGTTTAGCAGTAGAAATAGGTAAGGTAATATGTTAAGTTATGTGTTTGATTACGTTATGAAATGCTACACTATAGTATTGAGATGGTACTGTAAAAATAGCAGTATGATGAAATAAATCAATAAACATAGTTGTATGTCGACCATATATTCTGCTCACCATGGCATAGTAAACAGTTCCGTAAGCAACCGGCACAGTGGCAGCCTCGATAAATGACCACTCATCAGGAATTGCCCACATTAGAGCTCTGTCACCTTCAACGATGTTCGCCATACCCCTGTTCCGTACCATAGCCATCACTCTGGAGCCACTGAAAGCGACGAAAACATTCAATGTATTACTTTCACATTTCATTTCATATGTAGCGAGACACATCTGCTCTGACAAAAGATATTTTTCGTATTCACGTTTAAATAATTTTTTATTACTGATGTCATGCAATGGAGGAGGAATATCATTGCAGCACTTACTGGTGCGATACCTGAAACCGCCACAAAAAGCAGTCGTTCTGTGTTTATAAACTAATCGGAACTTATTCCCTCTTACACGTTGTGACCAATTAATTTCAAGGTATATATAATCAGGTTTCCGGGTTTTAACTTTATCAAACATTTGGCAGGCCAACTATAGCTTCTGATGGGCCTCCATTTTCAGAATGCCGAATTTAATTAGATAGGGCGTGATATGGGTGCGAGGAGGAATTCGAAAACAATAGCGAGCACAAGAATTTTGCACTCGCTGAATCAGTTTTTTCGAGCTTTTTTTGAGACAGTCACTATACACCGTGATGCAATAGTTCAGCCTAGATAATACCAGTCCTTCACAAAGCAGAACTCTCAGATCCTGGCTGACATAAGATCCAAAATTGTACAGAACTTTGAGGCGATAGAAGCAAGAGCGTGTGACGTCCAATTAATGATTTTCAAAGCGCAGCTCACTATCCATTTGCAACCCAACATTCCGAGCTGAGCTGACTCTTTCTATAGCCACACCTCCTATAACAATCTGTGGGTCAGCACTAATAGTCTTAGGCACATGACTACGGGAGCCAAGTATCAAATATTTTGATTTAGTTGCATTTAAAACGAGGCCGTTAGAAGAACACCAAGCAGAAATACGACTAAGATCATCATTTAAATCACCAACCATAGCGTTCAAGTTATTAGCATTGCCTGAAATATAAATTTGTAAATCGTCAGCATATAAGTGAAACCGGCAATTCAAAATACATTTAGCCAAATCACTGCTGTACAAAATGAAAAGCAAAGGCCCAAGAATGGAGCCTTGCGGGACGCCTTTCTGGATTGTCTTGAGGCCTGATTCGATGTTGGTACCATCAGAGTTTTGTATGACTACCTTTTGATGACGTCCACTAAGTTAATTACTAATCCAAGATCTGGAATTGGTCATAACCATAGTAAGTCATTTTTGAAAGTAGCATTTGAATGTTAATGGAATCAAAAGCACGCCAGAAGTCCAGCAAACTTAAAATCGAACCCCTACCAATATCTTGAGAAGCGAGGAAGTTATCAACGACATCAAGAAGAGCTGTAGTAGTGCTTGCGAAATCCAGATTGAAGTGACGGAAGGATTTAATTTTCTTCACAATAGCGCATAAGTTGGCCATGGACTACCTTCTCTAAGATAATAGATAAATAGGGTAAAATACTGATAGGTCTTAGCCACTCACACAGTCTCAAACACTTAAGGTAATAACACTTAAGATTCTTGGTAGTGTCATTATTAACAAATCTATGTTTATTTCATCCAGTCCAGTGGAATTTGACTTAACACTTAAAATATTACATAAAATATTATATATAATTTCACCAGCACCCTTACCCTTCAAAGCCGGAAGGCAGTAATGTTCACAATTACTGCTTGGCAGCAAGAATGGGTACTTCCCTAGACGTACTATTTCCCAAGGAGCTCCATTATTACATTTGAATATACTATATTACAATCATCGAGTATATAACCAGAAATAGAGATGAAATAAGGGCCATCCATCCCTGGCACTTATATAACACTGTTACGTAAACTGTCATTCCCCCGCACCGCAAAGCTACCTCAGGAACCGACTCAATTAAGCAGTAGGCCTGTATTACATTTGAATGTGATACAGTAATCTCCATATATGTCGTAACTCTGAAAAAGGTCGAAATCCCGTTTCATAACTAAACGGCGCTAATCAATAGCCTGGAAGTAGTTCATATTATGTAAATCGATATCAATTAATTCACTTTTAAAATGAAATATAAGTGGTCAGCTTTTTCTTTGTAATGTTCACATATTGATCATGAGCTAAAATATGCGTATAAATTGATGGCATTGTGTGTTACACACTAATTTATGGGTAGATGGCGCTAATTCCAAATAAAACAGAATAGCCGCCAGTATCCATAAAAACCTGTCCAATAAGCGGCATCTAGTTTATTTGTTTGTTATCACTAGAAATTAGAGTAGCTATAATAAATTGCAGATCGTCAATGTAAAACAAATTAGTTACAACAGTAGCTATTTGGTACTCGTCGTGACATCTGGTGTACCAGTAGGTACTAAATACCCGCCTACGCTTTCTTGTATCTCTCGACTTATTGATTGGTCCATGCCATAGATTAACTTGTTCAGTATGATGAGACGGTATCCGTTCTACAACGTGGATAAAGTTTTTTGATACGTACTTAGGTGTTCTTCCGACGATCTCAAAACCTTGTACGCACTCCTGCGCCAATCGTCCAGTGGCGACCGCATCCACCGTCACTCGACCAGTTGCAGTCATAACATCACGGAAATTCAACGCTGCACAGTATACCTAAGGTAGAAAATTGCAGTTTTATGACGATATAATAATGAATAGATGATGTAGATGGCTTGGGAAAGAAAATAAAGTGAATTACAAAGAAAATAATATGTAACAAGCACAAAGAGAAACTCATAATATATCCTGACACGATCTGTAGCTCAGTTGATGAGAGCACTGGCCCCGGTGCGGCAACAGACGCTGGTTCAAGTCCAGTTAGACTAAAGCAATTTTTATTTGTATTGTTTGATCGATTATAGAGTGTCCAATAAAAGAGTATTGCAGATGATCTCCGGATATGGTTCAACCTGAGCACAAGATCCTTGTTCCGTGTAGCTGTGTCTAAAATACAGATAGCCCTAATAATAGCCGACCTCCGGTAGGAGGTGGCACCTCAAGAAGAAGAAGTTGTTTGATCTCTCTATCAATAATAATAATATACGTAGTTGTACGTAGTAGAGTGTTATCACAATAAAATATAAGAATATTATTGTAATAAAAACATCATGGTATTCAGAACTGCCTCCGTGGTCGAACGGTTACCATACCGGATTGCCACGCAGAGGTCCCCGGGTTCGATTCCCGGGCCGGGAGAAATATTTGTATGGCCTACATTTATTTCTCTCGTGAGTTTGGGTGTAATTTGTGGTTGTCTATGTGTGTGTCCATGGCACCCGCGACACAGGGTTTCCCTAGTGCGGGGCTATGTTGAGTGTGTGCGTTATTATTATATTATTAATACATTAAAAGAAGATTAAAAATTAGGACTAGTAAGCTCAGACATCACACACTTTTATTAAATTGACTAAGGCCAATTTTCAATTGTGAATATCTTTTATTCACAAACAATTCTTTACAAATAAATATTAATTGACATTGAGAAATTTGATTAGTGGAAAAGTCAAGGGCAATTACATCGGAAGCGGTTTTACGTTAAGTAAGTTTAAATTTAAGGTTTTTGTTGGACTTAGATATACGACTCTTATATGGTATTTGAAGTTTATTCCACTGTCACTGCCTTTTTTACTCAGCGAAAACGGAGCGACGAATGCTCCTCATCTTTTAACTATTTTTGATTTTCCCTGTATATTCAGTACTTTGTCTCATTATATTCAGTATTTATGAAAACTAAGCTCTTTCTTTCCGCACACCATGCATCAACCTATCTTCTGATTGTCATAAATCATTATGTTACATAATAGAAAATTCAGAATTTCTAGAACTACGGTGCGTATCTTCAATGTTTCTAGTCAATAGAATTACTTACATGAATGAGAATCCTTTCCTTGTCCTTGAAAACGTGGTCCTGCCGGATCGGTCCCTCAAGCCAGCTCAAACTTGACAGGTCGCCAATTGTAGTAGTGTTAACAAAGCCATGGATAGCTTTCACTGTATCCAAGTCCCCGAGGAGGAAATGGCGGTAGGTACCCCATTGGCCCTATACGAGAATAACACACAATATTTTTTAAACTCCTGCAAAGAATGTCTACATTGAATCAGTTACAACACCAGATCCGTAAAAGTAGTAGTTTTTAAAGAAAAATGGTATATCTAAAAATTAAAAAATAGACATGCATAATAATATGTATGTTCATTTTTTAACCACGATTTGACTTTGTCATATATTGCGTTCATTTTGTGCGTACGTGTTTGTTACTTTATTATTATAAATAATGTTAATTATATAAAGGGTATGTGGGAAACAGTGATGACACTTCAGTTATGGCTACCTAGCTAAATAAAACTTTGTGAGTCTAGTGGAGTTTTTTAATTAGTTTTCACGGACATATTAGACTTCCAAATAGTTGCGGTACAATATGCTTTACAATCACTCCGGGTAAAAGAACTGGTAAGAATTTAATATTCTGTAAAATATTATATTAGCATTGTTATTTTCTTCTTTCTATATTTACAAAACAAGATCACTTACATTTTGATAAACGTTAAGGGCCAAATCCTTGTCCAACTGTTCCTCATAAATTTCTAAATCAGGATTGAAAGGCGGCGCGGATGGGTCAGCAATTAGAAAACCGTAAACAGCTTCACCACCAGGTTCCTTCCTTAGACAATTGACCAAACCTAACAATCCATTAATGTGTTCATCTTGAGTGTACAGTACTACTTTTTGCCCCTCCTTGAGCTCTTCTTTAACTTTATTAATCCAGGAATATGTCTGATCAGCTGCGACTACTTTTATGAACTTAGCTGGTTTAGCACCAACGCGCTTTCTGAACATTGTAATGTATTCTACGCCAGTGTCCTGGATGGTAATTATGTCTAGCTTGCCTGAAAAGTCTTTAGGGTTAGGACGTTCCTTTTCCCGACTGATGATAAAGCATTTATCACGGAGCGTTCCTAAAGCTTGTTGCAGGACCTGTTTAAAAATGAAATAATAATTAAAATATGAATTATATTATATTAAAATATATAGTTGATGGACTGTTGTCTTTGTGTACGATTAGTTTTACTTTCTTGGTACTGAGTGTTATATCCCAATTTTGTTTATGACTTGGGGAATATATTGACAAGTAGCTTTTTCAGCTTTGCCTAAAACGTCCAAGTTAACCACAAGTTAAATAAAGAAATATTATTCTATGTATAGTTCAGATATCTTAATACAATTTAAATTACTTACATCAGGCCTCTTTAATATATTACAACCAACGAAGATTACTGTGTTGGATTCACCAGCCATTTTCTTATTTTCTACAGTTATGGTTGAAGGCATATCTAGTTGCTCTTCAGTCAGGACTAAAAGTTCAGCTTGTACCAATGGTAAATCTCCAAGTGCTTCGCCAACTTTCTCAATAACAGGTTCAAGACCATGCGTTTTATATTCTTCGTCTATTAACTCGATGCTCTTTACTTTGTAGGTTTGGATATTTTCTAAGATGAGTTGGATGTTAGCGCGGAGCACATCTTCGATCTGAAATGATATTTTTAATATGATGGCGGTTTTTATAGACCGACTATTTTATGTCAGTCAGAGAGGAATACTAGTTTTTCTACGTGCATTCTTTAATCAATTTACTTCCAAGTTTAGATGGAACCCAAGTGTTTTAATTACCGTAACTTTTTCCTTTCCGAAGTTTGGAAGGAATTCATTTTTCTCTAAAACAGGTACACCAAGTGGAAGCCTCCTAGAAATTGGTGTAGCGTGGAGACCACGTATCTCTACGCCACCACACCTGGAAAAAATAATAAGTTATAGCCCCATTTACTTTTTAAGTAACTTACTCGCATGTTTTTACGTACCTGATGACTTTAACATCTGGGTACACACGGATTTCGAAAGAATGTCGTGTTGACTCGGGATTCATGTTAGAGATAGCGTTGTAATGCATATTCGCATCAATACAAAGCTTCTCAATTCTAGTCGGAACGAAGAGACCACGAGTGTCGTTACCAATGATCATCATTTGGAGCATGCAATCCATGAAAGTAACCCAGTTGTTGTTCCAAGAGAGACGACCTCGTGTACCTTCGACGTTGCAGCCCAACACGCCTCGGAATAAACCACTGGGTAAATAGATATACATATATGTTAATGCATGTTGTTAGTACGTAACCTCAAAGAAATTGATACCATGTGTGAAAAAGACCGCGCGTTATCGTGGTTTGAATAACAAACGTAAACAGAATTGAAGAGGACAAATATAAATGTCGGGATGTATCTATATTTTGTTTAAATTTAGATACATCATATCACTAGATTGTCGAATTCACATAATTGCAATATTAAATTGAGAATGAAACTACTTTTTCGGATATATTTATATAGCGTATATTGTTTTTCAAATTTTACGTTTTTACAGGTAATTTGATGACGGCTGACCGTTTGTGCTAGTTATAATGAACAAATATACGCGACTTAGATCCAAAAAGTAGTTTAATTTTATTTCCCACATGTGGGCAAAGACCTCCCCCCAAAATTCTTCACTGGTCCCTGTTTTTGCCGATATCCAACTTCTTCTCAGATCCATCGAGATATCTCGCTATCACCTTCTCGGCCGACCTCGTCATCACCTTCTTTCGTGGGATCAAACCCCAAAAATAAAAAATTAAAAAAAATTTTTAGAATGTGCTGTAAATATTTGACTAAACTGCATTTACCTGTATTGGTAGCCTCTAAGTCGAAGTTCCTTGTAGAAGTCCTTAGTCAACAAGTGCTTAATGTTAGGGCCGGTGGACTCAGGCAGAGCCGGAAGAACACGATAGTCATTGCCCACATTCTTCTTGGCGTGGATACGGCCTGTTACGATTGAGGCCCCACTTTCTACGATCTAATCGATAAATATTTGTTACTTATACGAATACAATAAAGTTGTAAGGTTGCAATACGGTTTTGAAATCCAAAATGGATTCAATCAATTTTGCTTTCTATTTGCGCTTATTTCCCCTCTGTGATCTAATAGCACGGTGTAAAACTTTGTAGAAATAAATTAGGGCTCTAAAGTCTCATAATATCAAATTTAGGTTAGTGACGCAAACTTACACTAAAATAAAAATGTTCAGAAGTAAGTATATTCTCGAGTAAATGGAAAAGTAAATAAAAAGCTCTAACTTACCTCAAAGTTACCACTGCCTTTCTGAATCATGACGATGAATTCCAAATTTCCATCCTTGGGGATGTTTGTAGCTCTTTCGAAACGGACGTTTTCAAAGACTACTGAGATTTCTGTGAAAAGCTCTCCCATCATCATACCTAGGGTTTCCCAGACCAGAACGAGGTAACCGGTGGCAGGGTAAAGGTTACGACCTTCAAAAAGCAAGACAACATTAATTAATCAGTTAAATCATTTTAACTTCCAACATCACAACCAGATGAATTTGATAATAACACAATCAGGTAGAGAAAGTAAAAAAAAGTGATGGCAATATTTCAGTACTGCTGGGAGTAAGTGATATAAATAAAATTTTATCTAATTTACTAGTTTTCTCAATTAATTTGTGTAATATTTTAATTAAACATGTTACATTATTTAATTTAGTGTTAGTAAATTAACACTGTTGATGATATAAATATCAAATGAAAATGCGATACTCAAGATGATATTTCACTTTTCGATTTACATGATGCGTTTGGCCTTACCATCAACAACGTGTCCGGCCATGTACTCGCTGTCTTCATCTACAATAGACATTCTAACGGTTCTTTCTCCAGACTTCATCTTCTCTTGAGCTTTGTATGACGTTACATACCTGTTATGGACATACAGATACTTTTAAAATTACTAATTAATGTACTTTATATACATACATTTGCTTTGGAAATCTATTTGTAAAATGTAATATTTTAGGAATTATTTACATATTGTTCTTTACAGCCGAATTATAATGGATGATAAAATATGAAACGGAAACGTATGCAGGTCAATTTATAGAATACAATTTATTTGCTCTCTAATGTGAAATAATAAAGGGTCCCACAAGGCGCTATGAAACGCTTAAATTTGAAAAGAACCAAAATAGTTCAAATTTCTATAAAATATAATTATATTTATTCTATAATCGTCACAAACCGTGAGTGCTATATGATATAAGCATAGTTTGCAATACTAACTCTACCTAAAGTAAGACATATGTCAATGTCGATTATTCGAAGGCACATTCTTGTTGAACGCAATAAGAAGGCGGTGAAGTGAAGCCTAATATTAATTGTACGCCATCACTCAGCCGACCGCAAACAAATAGCTCTTCGCTGATCTATCGAGCCACTTTGTTCATTGACTGCAATATAGCAGGGTTTCTATGGGGTGTCTTTAACTCTTTTTACTTTAAAAAGGTACAGATGCTTAGAAGCGTATTTGTCAAAATCTACATATCTAACGCAAATATTGCCTTCTGCGAATTCTCAATCGTGTAGAATTACTGTTTATGTTTTTGTTACTATTTGTATTTTCACATTTCATGACGTTACATACAACGCTGTCTCAGGGGCTATTGCATTTGCATATTTTCCCTAGAGAGTGCTGCAAGGCGCTATCTTGCAACCCAAGTTCTTTTTTATAAACCCCCGTCTCGCATTCGTGTGTGTTTCTGTGTGTATGCATGTGTGTCCCATATATAAGTATAAGTAGCTGTGTTTGATGAGCTTTTTCTCTGCTAGTGAAGGCACAACAGTCATAAAATGGATATTTAATTTACGTCCACCTGTCTTTACATTTATTAGTACACTAGGAAAATCCGATAATATTACAATACAGTAACCTCGCTCTCATTTATTTATTTATTTAAAAAAATACATTGTGAGTTTACAATGTCACGCCAAGTCATAAATACAAGTCAATACATAAAATTATAATGTGAACAATAAGACAGAAAGAAAATAAAATAATGAAATGACATTAATCAATAATGTTAAGTACACTCTCTGATCATGTCAAGTAGTTATTCAAACAAATTTCAAAATTTTTTTGAATAATATTATATACATTATATATATTAGTTTCGGTAACTTGTCGTTGAGCACATTGGCATTACGGACGTCGTCCAGGAGAGTATTGACCAAGGCAAGAGCTAGAGGCGTGGTGGAGTTGCGTTCTTGCGAACACCATCTGGAGACGCCATCGAGTATATAACCAGACATAGATACGAAATGTCATTTAATTTGTTTGAAACTATTCTGCCATATCATTACGGTGACAACTGCGCTCCGATTGCCCAGCCCGACTTCGAAATAATTGACGAGGGTCGTCAATTGATTTCAAATCGACCAGTTTAACATGAGGTTTGCTATAATGGACGTAAAATGGAATAATTACACATTCAACATTTATTAACCGATGAAATGTGATTCCCTTTGTTTTGTAATTACATGTTTTGCCACTTTTTCCACACCATCGAATGGAACAGCCCCCCATTGTTAGAGATATTATCTTTATTACGATAAATACAGAATATTTTTGGAATATACGGAGATGTACACACAGGTGAGTGGTTGGCGCTATACTATTTCTTAGCTTACTGTGATTTCAGCGAACGAGTGTTGATATTTAAAAGTGATATACGGCCCATTTTCCTGCTGAGTTGCCAGGGCTGGACCTAAAAACCTAATTAGGTGGGTACAGTAGAGAGTAGCACCTGTAGTCTATCTTGTAGAGACACCTACAGAACTGCCTCTGTATCCTCTCCAGCAATAGTTCCTATTTTTTAATTTCTGATACTGCAATTAGGACAGTCTGCAGACTACGTAACTGCTTACACTATCGTGTAATTAATTACATTGTTCTCGACAAGCTTGCTAATGGTGAATACATTCATTTTTCAATTTCATTTTAAGCTTTATTATACATAGAAAAACGGTACATTTGTACGAAAACAAACGTATTGCAAAGCCCGCGTTTTGTTTTGTACCCTTTAATCCAGTCTGTAAACGAAACTGCCAGCATATATTTCAAACGGTACCCAATAAACTTACGTAAGCCTTTGTGTTAAGCTCATAGTGATGACATGGAGGCACGTAAATACAAGCACGTTGGGTTAAATTCTGCCTGTATTTGTAGTAAAGCGTATAGTGAAGGCTTATGAATGCTTCCTTATTTTATTAAAAAAATGTTTTAAAAATAAAATGTGTATTTGTCCATTTTACATGGCTTAATTACACATAATTCATTACAATATATGTATATTATTTAAGCATTATAAAATAAACTACTTTAATTTCTGAACTGGTGTTACAACTACCAAAAATTTTTACAAACTAAAATAAATTAACCTATGTGTTCGTTTCCGCGAGTGCATATCTATGTATATATGTATGTAAGTGTGTGTAAATTTGTGTGTGTCTTCCAATCATATTATTTATATTTAGGTTGTCTTAATTTTTTCGGCCTTTTTTAAAACTCGGCTAAGTGATAAAATAATTTTTTGAGATCATAAAAAACCATAACTACGTTTTAGTATATTGAAATTGTTTCATGATATTTCAGCTACGCATCGTTAGGGTAAGTTCCGATAATTCGAGCATGTTAACTAATTTTAACTGTTTTTATATGAGAATTTTTGTGCTCCATCTTATGCTATTTAAAACGAATAAAGCCGCGTTTTGGTTAATGGACGGCAGAACTTCATTTCTATTCGCTAATTGTACTAAGGATCTAAGTCGCGTATATTTCTGAAATAGTCATATTGATTAAACTTTACAATGCATTCGTAAGGCAGATTCCTTTCTGCCGCCAAGCAGTAATGTCAGTATTATTGTGTTCCGGTTTTGAAGGGTAAGGGTGCTGGTGAAATTACTGGCACATGGGACTTGTCAACTTATGTCTCAGGGTGACGGGCGCAGTGGTAGTGCCCCTCACAACTTTGTGATTTAAAACTCTGAGGACACTGCTACTGTTATGGACAGGCGTGTATCTTACCTTCAGGAGAACGACTTGTTCGTCCCTTCACTTGATATTATAAAAATAAAAAGAAAGTTTAGGGGTTACTCTTTGTAATTTGTGGCCGAACGGCTACGAGGGTTCGATTCCCGTGCCGAGAGAAATATTTGTATGGCCTAGATTTATTTCTCTCGTGAGTTTGGGTGTAATTTGTGGTTATCAATGTGCGTGTCCATGTCACGCACGTTACAGGGTTTCCCTAGTGCGGGGCTATGAGTGTGTACGCGTTATTTATTCATTTATTTATTTTAAATAACATACATCTAGACAGTTTGAAAGAATTAAACGGTCACTATGCACTTTGCATTTTGTCGTCCTGGTACGCAGAAGTTGTATATGCCTTCAGGGTAGTTTTTTATTTACTATAGTTTTAAGCAAACTTAGAATATCAACTAGAATCTTATTACAGAAGCGTATACATTGCCCCTTTAATAAATATATGACTTTTGTAAAGAAGACTGTAAGAACATTTATTTGTATTGCTCGTATTAATATTGTTTATAACTATTTTTCATAAAAATATTATTATGTTTCATAACAAAAATTTAATTTTCCTATATGTACTGTGACGCTAATGTAAGAATGTTAATTGATTAGCAAGCCAACATACGTTTGGTCACACCTTTTTTTATTAAAAAATAAGTGCGCATTTAACTTCGATCTCACCTGATGGAAAGTGACGATGAGGTCGACGATGGAGCATGTGTACCTAAATAATGCCTATTCACTCTCGCCTTGAAAAGGCCCAAGTTATACCGTTCAGGGAGTCTGCAGGCAGGGAATTCCACTCCATATACGTACGAGACAAACATGTTAAAAAATGAGGCTTACCAATCTTCACTATGCTCCCATTCGACCAAGTGCGCCATCATGGGCGTTGATACGGACACCGGGAAGGGCACATGTGGGTAGATATTTGCCAAGCGGGGATTCAACCCTGACTCGTATAATCTGAAAAAAAGATCATCATAATCGTTGTAACAAAACGACGTAACCATATTTCAGCTTGTGACTACACAACCTTTTCAATCTTTTTCAACTTGCAGGCTTTATCACGATATTCAAATTTCTTTCACCGTTAACAAAATATATTGCTACTAGAAATTAAAGTTATCGGTTCATGTATTACGTGTATTTTTGAAGGAATTCGAGACTTAAGAAAGTGAATTTAGTAAACGTGCCGTAGGACCACTGAATTAAGATTTAGAGCGATGACAGACGCAACGACGCGACGCACCGGCAGCGCCCGTGGGTAATCGAACACAAACTCGAATAGTTTTTCCGAAATAACGTTTGTTTGAATTTTCATTACACCGAAAACCGAATTATAACGAAACCGTTGTTCTTTCAGGATATGTTGGATGTTTATCGCAAAGACACGATTAGGTTCGGTTAAGTTAGGTTTGAAAGAAAAAACATTTTCCTCTCAAAATTACTTTCGAGATTATGAAAATTCGAGCAATCGTTATTTCTGGAAAATGTCATTTCGGATTATTGATAGGTAGCACGATCGTGTGACTTCACTTTTAGTCGTAGTTCTTTCTATCAGATTTTGTAGTTATCTTCTTGTGCATACAGAATTTTGTTACTGTTGCACATTGTGAGATTCTGGTGTCAGTACTAGGGTTGCAAGTCGGCCGTAATATCCTAAATTACGCCCGTGGGTTTTTTCATTTATATTACCGCCCTGAGTCGCTAATGTTTTTTAAAATAATTTTTGTTTGCCAAAATAATTTTTGTTCGAAAAATCTGAATTTATTTCGCATAAGCTTGAAGTACCGATAAAAAAGCTAAACATTTGCAATATTCACTGAATTTGTTTTAAAAATTCAAATTCTGCATTTTTACTATTAGGAAATTGTTTGTTTTATATCTAATACATCAGGCTATCAGCGCTTTTACCTTTTACAACATTTTAATTCGAGTTGTAATCTAAGGAAGAAAAGAAAACCTGGACATCTGTTCAGAAACCGCTAAATTTCGACGCGTTCATGAACAAGCTTTGATACTGATCACATCGCAATTTGGCGCAATTAAAGGACACCAATTGAAATTAACTTGTAATTTCATAAAGATCTTTTACACTTACCGTCGAATTCCGTTATCATAGTACTTTATCGTTTATGTATATATCTTTATTTAAATACTTTAGCTTTACAAATAGTACAGAGTAAGAACAAAACAAGATTTATAGGGCTCAATTTATATTCAGCGTTACGGAATGAAAGCGAAATTTTACGAGCCCAATAACAGATTCTTGCGCTGTCTCGGTAATTCCCGCAGTTACCGTGTCGTGTGTAGTTCGTACGTTATACAATTGACGTAAAGATGTTATGTACTATTTCGTTACAAAAATTCCCAATTCCCATACATTCCTTTTCGCAGTAATGTAAACTGAGCCTTAATGTGAGTAAAAATAACATAGACGACAAAAGAAAGTCGTAACAAATTTAAGTGATTCTAGCCCCTGATCTAGACCACAGTACGTGTCTTGGGAGGCAACGTTCAATTAGGCCGGGTGAAATATGTTCCTGCACGTAAATAAATAAATATATAAAGTAAAAGGCAATGAGACTACAGTCGTGTTATTCTTGAATATTTTCTGAATTGTGCAGTACTTGCTTTTAATTAATTAATTTATTGTAAATATATTTACTAAATGCCTTGGTGGCCGAATGGTTACCATGACGGACTGCCACGCAGAGGTCTCAGGTTCGATACCCGGGCCGGGAGAAATATTTGTATGGCCTACAATTATTTCTCTCGTGAGTTTGGTTGTAATTTGTGGTTGTATATGTGTGTGCCCACTGCACCGTGACACGGGGTTTAACTAGTTCGGGGTTATGTAGAGTACGTGCGTTATTTATTTATTTACTTATTTACACGGTATTACAGTTAAAAACTAATGCACCGTGAAACTATGCTAATTATGAAAATAACAATGAGATCACTCTCCGGTGCCGATGCCAAGAGTTCATTGAGCATTGTGAGGGCACGGAGCAGCGGCGAGTTCCTATCCGATAATATACGTGACGAAGGCACTGCGAATCGCTCACGACGTCACACTCTGTGAATTATTTTAGGGACGTCTGGGTCAAATAACCTTACTAGTGGCCCCGCAAGTTCAGGACAATCCGACGTGTCACGAGACCTTACAAACAGAGACGAGCAAGTTGTTGTTCCGCCTCACTTCAAAAGAATTATATTAAAATACGAAGTCCCCATTCATCGGATACAGGCCCTGTACTCTATCCAATACGTTCTCTATCCAATATCCGTCCGAAACAAATACAATCAAATAAGTAATCTCTCTCGACCATTTTAAAAAACGCTTGATGCGAATGAAGTTTCATACGTCACATTGTTTTTTTAATTTGGTCGAGTATAAATTATTTGACAGCAATTGTTTTGGACGGACATTGGTTGGAGATCTCCAGAAACTTCCTTTTATGTTAACAATGAAACTTAGCTTTGTGTGGGTACTACATAAATGACGAAAGATCAAGCTTGTTTCTCACCAGAGCATTATAGACCATTCGTATAGCTCCAGGAACTGACTCTTGTGACATCACATTACATGTGAAAATTTCACACTACCAAAACTTACTTTCCAATAGCATTAAATAGCACTTGGACATTGTCTTCATGTCCTTTCTGAGTTAGCGGGATGTTGATTACGTCCTTCTTCAATGAGCGACGCAGGATGGCTTGGAGAAGGCCGTGCGGTGCAATTTCGATTGTGATCGCGTTCGGGTGGATCAGCCGGGAGGTCTCTTCAAAGAGGACTGCACTCTGTAAGTTGAGGATTGTATTTGCACCATGACTCTCATATGACCACTTGTACATGAAAATGTACATAATACGTGATGTGATTCGTACGGTCGGTGATGGTCACGTAAATGCCCTGTGTACATTATTCAAAATATCGCATTTAATAAAACATTTAGTAGGTACATATTAATGAACATTGGGCGTTTAGCGCTTTTCCATTGTAGTTCGCTTTTTGCGCCATGTTGCTATTAAAGATGTGAAATTATAACACCGGCCATTTAGATTTCCATTGCATAAGAACTTTAACAAACTAAAAATGTTATGACTCGCGAAAGACTTGTTAAGGCAGATCCACACATGCGCACGAACTGTACAAACTACGAGTCTCGAACGGTAAAGCACGTGTCAAATTACGCGCACATGCGTATGTCGTTAATCTACCGTCAGTCAATTAATCATTTTGTTGCGTTACAACGAGACGCACAAGAACAAAATATGTGCACATCAAAGTCAAAGTCAAAGTCAAATAATAATTTATTTCATAGGTAAAATTTTTACACTCGAAAACGTCATTTTTTAAACTACTACTCGTTCCGCTGACCTCCCTGAGAAGAACGAGCAAGAAACTCTAGGGATTGCTCTTTTCAAATAAGCTTAAACGCTATAGAATACATTTTGAATCATATTTGTGTGGAATTAAGATTCACGTTGTTACTCCATACATCTTTATCTAACACGTAATCTACAATTTTGTAATATGACTTTTCAATGAAAATACTTTTAATGTAAGTTTTAAACTTAGGAAATGGTAATCTTAATATATGCTCCGGAATCTTATTGTAAAAACGTATACGGTTCCCCATAAAAGAATCGTTTACCTTAGTTAAACGAAAACGTGGTAACATGAGTTTGGACTTAGTTCTAAGGTTATCTTCTTTCTTAACGAAATTATGTATACTTTTACGGGCATACAAAATATTTGAGTAAATGTACTGTGATGCCATAGTCATGATACCAGTCTCCTTAAACTTTTCTATGAGAGAAACCCGAGAACCTAAATAGTACACAGAACGAAACGCTCGTTTTTGCAACACAAATATGGTTTGTAAAGTGTGCTTTTTTTGAGCAATCTATTTTCCGATAGGGATTTGACAGAGAAGGAATTGACAGATGGCGGCCATCTTAGTTTTTTCTGACACAGAAAATATTGAAGTTATCAACATGAATCACCTTTTGCTCCCAGAACGTCGCCAAATTTTGGAATTTTACATCAAAAATGGCAAATCAATTCGCCAAACGTACCGTGATTTGATACCAATTTACGGCCAACATCACCGGCCAACCGAAGCCAATATTCGCTTATTGATGAAAAAGTTCGACGAGACGTTTTCTCTGTGTGACGTGCCGCGTATTTCCTACGCTCGTTCAATGCGTACCGATGAAACCATACGAACTGTGAACGAGAGTGTCACCGAAGATCCGAATGTCTCAATTCGGCACCGCGGTTAAGAATTGGGCCTTACAGCGTCCACTACGTGGAAGATTTTGCGTAAAGATTTGGGTTTGAAGGCGTATAAGATCCAGCTGGTCCAGGAGCTGAAGTGGCATGACCATCCGAGACGCCGTACGTTCTCTAACTGGGCTCTGGCCAAGCTGAGAGATGACCCAGATTTTCATCGGAAAATCATCTTTTCGGACGAAGCACATTTTTGGCTAAAAGGGTACGTAAACAAGCAAAATATGCGGTATTGGAGCGCAGAACAACCCGAACAAGTTCTGGAGACGCCTTTGCATCCGCAAAAGGTCACAGTTTGGTGCGGCTTGCATGCAGAAGGCATCATCGGTCCTTATTTCTTCAAAAATGAAGCCGGAGCCAACGTTACGGTGAATGGCGCGCGATATAGGGAGATGTTGGAAGGCTGGTTTTTCCCAAATGTGGCCACGCACGACCTGGGCGACTTGTGGTTCCAGCAGGACGGCGCCACGTGCCATACAGCCGGTGACACAATGGACTTATTGAAGGGAACGTTCGGCGATCGGATTATTTCGAAAAATGGCCCCGTCGATTGGCCGCCAAGATCTTGCGATATCACGCCGTTGGACTTTTTTTTGTGGGGCCATGTGAAGGCGCAAGTGTATGCGGACAAACCGGCGACGATTGAGCATTTGGAAGCCAACGTTGTACGCGAAATTCTCGCCGTACGCCCAGAAGTTCTCGAAAGAGTGATGCGAAATTGGACTAATCGAATGGCATATCTAAAACGTAGCCGCGGTGGCCATATGTATGTATACCGATTGCTCAAAAAAAAACACGCCTTACATCTGCCGCTTTACCCCACATGAGAACCCCGTAGGACATTATACTATGGAAGTAACTAAAGTAAACTAGTCTAGCAGTAGCAACATCGGTGAGTTTATGTATTTTACGGACTGCGTATGCAGCAGAGCTGAATCTGCTGGCAGATATATGTGGAGTTTACTATCTAAGGTCACACCCAAAAAGACAGCTTTATTAACAAGGTCTAACTTTTCTCCATTTATTTCTATGATTGGGCTAGTCGATTTTACATTAGGTAATTTAAATTTAACACACTTTGTCTTCTTGGCATTGAGCAATAAATTGTTAATATTAAACCAACAAACTACCTTTGAAAGGGTATCATTAATATTTTCATAGTCTACGTCATGTCTGTCTGTTTTAAAAATCAAGACGACACATGTCGTCAGCAAACGATACTATTTCGTAAAGGTTCTTAACAAAGAATTTTAGATCATTAATATAAATGAGAAATAAGAAAGGACCAAGTATTGAGCCCTGCGGAACACCCATTTTTACCGGAGAACCCAAAGAACTCACTCCATTTATGGCTACTTCCATTTACTACGTCGTGATTATTATAACGTGCACGCGAACCACACGCGAACGTCTCCAAATGTGTCCATATTATGAACCGAAACAGGTGTGAATCCACCCTTAGTCGAAAACTTTTTTGTGGATACCGAACAATAAATTTGTGAGAACGTTTTAAAATGAGTGAGAATAGAATCCAATCCAAAATTAAAGCTACTTACAAGTAGGTTGTTAGTGTGGTACTCAGCAGAAGACAGTTCAGCCTTAGCATCCTTCCACAGAGATTGTGGCACGGAGGTGGACACCCAGCGCTCAGAGCGTTGCTTAGGTGATGGTATCACTTCCTTTAGGTATTTCAGTAGCCTGGGACCTGCAGGTGCGTTGGGGTATCAATATCTGCTTCTAAGGAGCTGATCAAAAAGTCCGTGCGGTTTTTGCCACTCATTTTGTTGAAGAATGTTATATTTTATTGTATGTGGTCAATTTAAAAATAATATTTTAGAGCGCATTTTAAAGATTGGTGGGAGTTTTCAGTTTACAATTCATGCATAATTATAACGTTTTTATAAAAAAATTGACCTCAAAAGTTCGTGAAATTACATCTGTTTGCCAAGTCTTATTGCAATCGGTTATACATGCGTAAAAAGTTTATTGCAAATTACTTACCAGCTTCAGCAATGTATCTTGAATGATACGCAATGTTAGAGCAAGGCACCTCCTTGGCGAAAATATTCTGGGCAGTCAGCTTCTCCACAAAGCTCTTCATGATGTCAGCAGGACCTGAGATGGTGCTGGAGCCTGGCCCATTATGGCAAGCCACTTCGATTTCTGGTGGACACATGGTCTTCACCTGATAAGGTATATAGATAACTGTGACAAAACCAACAACATCAATGGATAAAGCAAAAGATATTTTTAAGAATAATTGTTCCTGGTATTTTATAGTCATATGAGACAATCAATTTGACAGGTTCAATCGTCTGTTGTGTGTAAATATTCGTGGTTGAATGAAAAAAAGTCTGACCTGAGTATAACCAAGACCGACAGCAGCCATAGATCCCTTGATGAATGGAGTCTCGATGGAAGCTAGACCTCTACTGTACGCAGAAAGGATCATTTGCTCGGCTGTAAAGCAGCCATCGGCGTACGCGCAACCTAGCTCGCCGACACTGTGACCTAGGGATAATATAATAGGGCTTGAGGTTTCACTTTTCCACTATTTATAGAAAAATTACATATAGCTAAGGCAAACGTTTAGATAGTATTGTGAGATAAGCAGAATTGTGAATAGGTTATATTAGCTCGGTCTATGAAAACTAATCAGGAATCAGTCTTAATTTAAACAAAAGAACTAATGTTTCTAACTAATTTTTCAAAAATGTTCTTACCAATGATGTAATCAGGTTCAATGCCGATAGTCTTTAGGACATCAGTGAGACCGATCTGAACAGCGGCAATTCCGACAAAAGAGTGGAGGATGTTGTCATAAATCTTTGGGTCAGGAGTTGTAATAAGCTTGGTCAAATTTAAGCCTTTAGGTTCTAGAGCTTTGTGGCACCTGTGGAAGAGGCGAGGAATCTGTTAGCCCGTAAAATCTTGTATGTAAAGACACATTCTATTATCACTCATTCTATTGTCAACTTGTGGTTCATCATCATTAGTCCATTTATACGTTCCACTGCCGGGCAAGGGTGTCCCTTCAGGCGAGGGCTTCACATGTTTTCCGAGGTTTATGAACCTTCTCCGACGTGTAGGTTTCGTTACGATTTTTTCTTTGTTTGAAATTTAAAATCGAATTTCGCACATAAATTCTGAGAAACTGAAAGGTGCGAACCCGGATTCGAACTCACGGCCTCTGCTTGAGAGGCGGTAAGTCAAACCATTAGGCTACCACGGCTTAACTTGTGCTTAGATAGAATTAGTTTTATAAAGTTACAAGAATACTTTTGTTCTATTAGAACCCCGTTCCAGAACTATTGTAACTTGGGTCAAGCAATTTGACATGGTTCAAAAAACATTTTTAATTCAAAAAAGACTTACTTCTCAATAGCTGCAGCAAAAACTGGGATCCTCATGAGTTGAGTTGCCATACCAGCCCATTGCGAGCCCATGCCCGAGTACACGAACCAGACAGGTCGATGGACGCCCGAGAAATATTGGATGTCGCGGGACAATTGGACGCTTTTGGTTGGGGTAGAGCCTGGTATAGTAATATACATTTTTAACATACATGACATAAACCATAAAGAAAATCCAAAAATGTTAGAAGTGCTTCCACCGCTAACGAATAAGCGAAGTGGATTCGGCGAGTTAAGATTTGTCATTGTGTCGCGCGTTAGTTTTGAATGGAATCCGCAAAAGCAATATATAGGTATAAGGACTTAACGTGCTCAGAAGGAAAGCGATTTGTGAGATTTTAAGACTATAATTTTACTACAAAACATTATTACCATTAATTTATTCAGATATGAAATATAAATGAACTCGAAGGTTAATTAGAGTGCAGAAAATGGGATTAAATAAAATTCATAGGTTTGCTATGTTTTAAAACATTGAAAGTGATTTTTTACAGAAAATAAAAATTTAAACTGATTTTTACTTTCCTAGTGGAAGGACAAAACTATTTTACTCCGCTCACTAAGCTATTTCCCGCCCAATTACCCTTTCGCAGAGGAAGGCGGGCGTTAGTGTCTGCTTATCGTCTATTCCTTTTCCAGATTAATAAGTTTGGCTTAAAATTTTAGACGTTTTATTGGATAAAAAATTTCGGTTTACTTTGTTTCCTTTAAACGTATTAACATTCATCTGAGATCATGACATCTTTTGTGATTCTCTAACAGTGGATTAAATAGTTTATTTAACGATTCAATATTGTAATATTTTTGATAGCCAATTGTGGTCTTGGAAAGAATATTTCAGATTATGCCCTTTATACAAAAACTACTTACCGAGCAGCGTGTATCCTCTAACAACATGGCCACCAATATCTTCATCATGAACTGCATGCCACAACCTTACAAGTTCCACATCAACAGTTCTGGACTCTAAATCATCCAATATCTTAGCAACGGCGGACTCAGTACGTCCAGAAGCACATACTAGGCGAGGTAAGTCATCAGCTGGGATACCGTTGTTTACCTGGTGATGTGTGTTGTGGATATTATATATATGAATGAGAAAAGGGGTGTAAAATTTTGTTGACATTGGGCTTCGAACATTTTTGAGAGAAGCTTGAGGATGTTTCAAAAACGTATAGAAGGTATAAGTTTTATAATGAAGATTTACCAACACGTCATCTTGAAATTACGTTGAATATTATTTGGCATCCACGTAGCAATTTTTCCGTGTACTAAAAATATTTCTTCATGTTCAAATATATTTTGTAAAATAACTGCACTAGTTGATTTTCTAAAATTGTTCATACAATGATCGAATACAAAAAAAATCCTTCGACTTGGCAGGATTCGAACCAGTTACTGTGCTGAACCAGGGTCACCGCTCTATCAACTGAGCTATAGATCGAGTCAGCATATCCTACGAACTCTATGTTTTTTATACACTTTTGTAGTGGACTTTTTCGGTTTTTATCGCAATAAGCGACATCTTGCAATACTTAATATTGAAAATTAAAAACTATTCTTGTCGGGTCTAAATCATGTTTATTTGTTTTTTCAAATAAACCATCGTTTCGGGCTCTTCATACAGAGTTATTTGAAAAATATTAACAATCTATATTTATTATATTTTTATAATAATTTAAAATAAAACTAGTGATAAAAAATCATAATCGTTTGAAACTGTCACAGTGAAACAAATAAAAAACATTAACGCATTTCAATAGTGTAATAATTAAGGTCAAAAACAGACGTTACAATCAACTGTCTGTAATCTCATCTTTTTATCCTGCCGATTACAAAACAAAGATTTTAACATTTGTACTTGTCGGTGCCTTGAAATTAAACGGTTTTAGAAACCCTGCACTGGCACCACTACTAATTTTCATACAATATTTTATCTCGCAGGATTATATCACTAACGTCATAAACAGTGGCGGATTTGCAGTCAGTCAGCCAACATCCGTTCAGTAGTTCTTGTGACAGACAGACAGACGTAGTGATGAAGTGATTATACATTACATTATAATACGTAACTTATCTATATTTTATACATAAAATGTACGAAAGTGATTTAGGAAGTTTATTGTTATACGTTGCAGTGCAGTGCGGCCCGTCATAATGTGCGAGAGCCTTTAGAATATTTAGGTACTTTGAGTTATTTCTTGTTATCAACAGCGAATTTTTTGTCATGATTGGCCGTCCCTAAAATCTGGCCGCCCAGGGCCCGGGCCTACTGGGCCTGAGGGCAAATCCGCCTTAAACAACACCTTTTGTTCCAGTACTTTTAAGAATTAATCAGATTTTGCTTTCGTACAAAAATAAAAATATTTAAATAGATCGCTCTAAACGACAATAACTCTGTGCGGTCTGGGAACGGGGTTCGTCAGGGAGGACGCTTGCACGTTTGAAGACATTATTACCAAATACAGAGCTAAAATGTATCAGATATTACAATAAAAACTTAAAAGTTTGTTTTTGGTAAATGTATTATGTTTTGTAAAAAGTCATGGAACAAAAGTTGTTGTTTATGATATTAGAAATATAGTCCTGAGAGGTTGTTAGTATTTTACAAATAATCCTGTATATCCTTTACATGCTGTACATCCTGTATACCCTGTATATGTATATTTGGTAAACGGGCACAGTGGCAGTGCCCCTCAGATCTTTGCGAGCTCTGAGTGGCACTGCAACTGTTATGGACAGTCGTGTAACTTATCATCAGGCGTACGAGTCGTTCGTCCCGTCACTTGATATTATTAAAAAAAAATCCCGAGGTTTCGTCTGACCATGAAGTCCAATGCATGAGCAATAACAAAAATCTAAGAACTTAACATTTTCCTTTTAATTCATAATATTCTAGCCTAGTAAGGCCGGTACATGAAAATGTAGTTAACATGTCAAGTGATTTTGACTTAGTCAACATTATTCCTATGGTTACGTAAACGCCCAGTGTATACTAAAATAAAAATATCGCACTCAAATTTAGTTACTGCAGCACACTCCGTAATCAAGAATGCCTAAAGAATATTTAGAATTTACAAATACTAATTTGTATTAATTTGAAATGCAATTAATTTTGGATGCCAACATATTTACTTCATTTAATATTTGCTCACTTGCTTGGACATTGTATCTATTTTTATTTTAGATCTGTATAATTACTGTATTCTGGCAAATTACCGTTTTCTATTATATTTTATTCTATTATAATCTAACCCGACCCCGCCATAGTTGGGGTACAGGGCTCGTATTCTCTATGACCATAGGCGACAGCCCTCAAAACAAATTGAGGGCATACTTGAAGGTTGCTGGATCTCAGGAAGCTAGACAAGAATCATTACCAAAGTAACAATCCCTTATCTTCCTAATTAAGTTTTTATTATAGTGACCCTCACTATTACGAGTATAACCTGTGCGAGCACGGGGACTTTATAACTTCCGGTCCTGACACCAGATCAGCACGTGGACAAGATTGTCACAGACCGTTGTCTCGGGTGAGCGGCCCTGTGTACTTACTAGTACCCACCTACAGGTGGGTACCGGAGCTGTTGGCACGCTCATTTTCCATAGTGCATTGAGCAACTAATGTAACAAATTATAGACTACAAACTTACCTTTGGCTTAGAGACATTCTTCAACAAAACGTGAGCATTGGCACCACCGAACCCGAAACTGTTAATGCCGGACATGCCACTATTCCAAGGCGTCTTTTCAGTGACTACTTCGAGTCTACCTTCGGCTAGTGCAGCAACGCCTTCACGAGGAATCTTGTAGTGTAGATTGGGTGGAAGGTAACCTGTGCCGTAGGCTATGCAGAGCTGTAGAAGAACAGGAGCTGTTAAGAATTGGATTGAAATAGGAACCTATAAAATAACGGTTATCTATCAAAAGTCCGAAATGACATTTTCTAGAAATAACGTTAACTCGAATTTTCATAACCTCGAAAGTAATTTTGAGAGGAAAATGATGGGAAAATATTTTTTCTTTTAAACCTTACTTAACCTAACCTTACCGAACTAATCGTGTCTTTGCGATAAACATCTAACATATCCTGAAATAACAACGGTTTCGTTATAATTCGGTTTTCGGGGTAATGAAAATTCGAACAAACGTTAATTCGCAAAATTAAATTCGAGTTTATGATAAAAAACCTATAAAAACTCAATTTTACGATATTCTCTTTATATTTTGAAGATTTGAAACCTTTATTCTGGGTTGAAAATGATTTCATTTTACATTTGTTTTTGTGATTATTATTATTAGCCCTTACACAGCGTACAACAAAAACTACTATATTTTTTTCATCCAAGCACACTGAAGCTGCATAATAAATAGGATAGCTCATTGTAAAAATGTAGGAGGTTCTCAATTTGTCTGTATTTTTTTGTATGTATGTTACGCGATAACTGTTATATTTGTGAACCAATTTTGATGATCCTTTTTTTGTTGGAAAAATGGTGCCTCAGTAGTGGTCTCATTTAAACTTGAAAAAAATATTCTACTTTAGAAGTAGAATATTTTTTGGTGGCAAACTAGGTGACGAATCCGGTTACGCGCACTTTTCGGTAACCAATTTGATGTAATTCCACGAGTTTTTGAGGACCGTTTTTTTAGTATCCTGTACTGAGATTATTTTGTACATATTTATTTCAAATAGGTATCTTTGACAAACTGAAAAAGCTAAAGAGTCACTACCATGCATTTTTGTCATCCTGGTACGCAGAAGCTGTATAATAAACCTTAGTTTATTTAGTTTTAAACCTACTACACGCAAAATTTCAATATCAACTAGAATTATATTACAGAAGCGTTTGCCTCCTTAATGAATTTGTGATTTTGTAATGATGGCTGTCAAGGACGGCCAGTTTATTTCTCATAATAATATTAAGTCTGTCACTATTTCTAATGGAAAAAAAAAATAGTAGAGCTCCTTGTGGTAAAGTCCAGGAAAGTACTGCGACCATTTCTGTCACCAAACAATAATGTGAGCATTACTGCGATCCGATTCTTTTGTATATTTGTTATCAACTTATGACGATCCTTGATGGAGAATGATATTTGATATGTAATTTAATGACAACAATATTATTATTAATGAGTTGTCAATTTTCTGATTACTGTGTATATTTCTTATAATTTTCATTTCTGTTTGACGATCTTAATATAATTTCTTATACTTTGACATGTAGTGCAATTTATAATTAATATTTGAGAAATAAATGAATCTGAATCTGAATCATGGAACTGAACTCACATAAGACTGCTGTACTAATTAATATGTTTTAATTTATTCTAATTTCTATTATAAATAATAATAAATAGAACTTAATAAAAATTCATTCAATAAAAATAATTAATACTTTATTAATAAAATAATTTGTAAAACTTAATGTAGCGTAAATTGGAAATAGGAAACCCACAATAGGAAACCGGGGTAAAATTTTTGATCCCGCCATTTTCCAAGATGGCCACCATACATGTGAATTTGCTGCTTTTTGGCGTCATTTTTCTTCGAGAAGGAGTGCGGGTTGTTAAAATTTGAACGTGAACTTACGTCTCAGGGTGACAGGCTCAGTGTCATATCTATGCAATTTAAAGTTCTGAGGGGCACTGCAACTTATGAGGATAAATATTGTCGCCAGATTGAAAAAACACAACGCAAATTCGCTCTATTCTTATACAAGAGAATGTATGGTTACTATCCGCTGCTCTTTCCTGCCTTATTTGTCTACGGAATGGTCGGTCTTGACACCTTGGAAGAAAGACGTAAAGTTCGAACTCCATTACGTATTTCTCCTGCGAGGTAAAGTGGACAATGCCGGAATACTGAGCAACGTAGATCTGTTTGTGCCACACGTGCACACACTTGCCGGGCTGACAACGCGCCCACGTAAGGTCCACTAAGGTGACATCTTTTGTGACAGCATTAGCAAAGTAATTTATAAGGCAAACTTAGCGTATCAAATATGTTTGTATATAAGAAATTAGCATGCAAGCGTTTTGGTTGTTACTGCAAGTATACATTGTGTTTTTAATAAATATTTAAATATTATAGGTGTTGTTTGCCACAAGACACACGACTTATATCATAAAAAAAATTCTGTCGAACTTCAAGAAGGAGATGTTTTGGCCGAAGGGTGTCATATACCGGCTGGTTACGTGTCCGGGAGTCTACTCTCGTTGTCCGTCTGACATCCGACGGAAACAATTACTGTCAAATAACTAATACTCGACCGAATCAAAACACAATGTCAAGTATGAAGCTGCATTCGCATCATGCGTCTTTTAATATGGTCGAGTATTACTTATTTGACAGTAATTGCCTCGGGCGGATGTGATCATTGAGTATATAACCAGAAATAGAGACGAAATAAGGGCTATCCATCCCTGGCAACTCATCAAACAAATGAGCCTTATATCACTTTTAAATATCAACTCTCGTTTGCGCTGAAATCACAAATTAGAAAACTGAAATAGTACAGCGCCAACAACTGACCTGCGTGTACGTCTCCGTATATTCCAAGAATATTCTATATTTATTGTAATAAAAATAATGTCTCTAACAATGGGGGCTGTTCCAATCGGTGGTGTGAGAAAAACAGCAAAACATCTAATTACAAAACAAACGGAATCACATTTCATCGGTAATTACATATTAAAAATTTAACTTTGCAATTTTCGTCAATTAAGTTCAAGTTAAACTGGTCGATTTGAAGTGCAAACAATTAACGACACCCGTCAATTGTTTTGAATTCGGGCTGGCCAATCGCAGCGCAGTTGTCACAGTAATGATTTGGCAGAGTAGTTTTCAAACAAATTAAAAGACATTTCGTCTCTATTTCTGGTTATATACTCGATGGATGTGATAGACGGGCCTGATAAAAGTTGTTACCTTGGCAACAGAGCATAATCCAGACGCAGGCTCACTGTGTCCCAGGTTAGATTTGACTGACCCTATTTTCAAAGGTTCTGATCGACCCGTGCAGAAGATTTCGTCGATGGCCACCAACTCCTCGGGGTCACCTACTCTTGTACCTGCGGAAGGAATTTTTCATTACTCAAAGCGTAAGAGCCTAGGTAGACAATTTTAGTAATCTAATAGTATTCATTTTATCTAAAATGCCATGTTATTTAGAAGAAAACAATCTTCATGATTTAGCCTTTCGATCAGCATAGTAAAATTACAGGTATTTTTTCACATTTGGCGGGTTCGATTATCGGTTCAGACAGGCGATTATATATATAAATCTTTGAATGCCGTTCGAATCGTTTTTAAAATAAAAATGAAGTTTTTTCAGTAATATTGTCTATCTACGTTATTAAGGTACTTCCCTCTGTGTGGCATAACCGTGTAACGCCCTGTAGGTATATATATTTGAAAGCAAGATATAACTCAACATAATACGCTGTGGTGAAAAGTTTTCCTTAGTATTTTGCACACTTACACGTGACATATAGCAACGTGCAGCACGTTACGCCAACACCCCAACTCTAGTTCCGACACGTTTAAACTTTCTATATACGATCATTCGATATACGGCATACCTTCTAATTTTAAAAAAATTCATAAAAAACAAACAAAGTGAAATCACTGAATAAGTTCAAATTAACATATTTCTTGATTGGATGCTGCAAAGTATGCGTGCATTCGTTAGCGAAATGCAGGCATCTTTTTTAGTAGTAGCAGAGCGCTTTGTGAAACAGCCTTACCTAATCTTAACTATTTCTGCCACCAAGCTGTAATGTGAGCATTACTGCGTGTCAGTTTCCAAGAGTAAGGATGGTTGTGAAATTACAGGCATAAAGGATTTGTCAACTTACGTTTTTTTTTGGATAATATCAAGAGACGGGACGTACAAGTCATGCCTGATGGTAAGCTACAAGCCTGTCCATAGCAATCGCAGTGTCGTCAGAGCTTTAAATCGCAAAGATCTGAAAGATCTAATTTCACCAGCACCCGTACCCTTCAAAACCGGAACACAGTAACATACATTACTCCTTAGCGGCAGAAATAGGTAAGGTTGCGATTTAAAGCTCTAAGTGCAACTGCAACCAGGCGCACGACTTGTTCGTCCCGCAACTTGATACTTTTAAAAAGGCATGTGCTGGATAGACAGACATTTGCAAAGACAAGGATGCCTGAAATTGCGCCAATCACAATTGCGCCAATCTCTCTTTTCTTAGAGACGGTATAAAATATTAAAACAAAAGCCTGACTACGTCCCTGTAACTCACAATTGTCGTAATAAAAGTAGAAAAACTATACCAAGGAGTTTCCCTATTAAAAAGCAGACTGCAAATGGAAAAACATCAAAAATAGATGAAAAAAGTTGGCCAGTCAAGTGCTTTGACGTTAAATTAAAACGTACTCCACTTACACCGAAGCCTTGGTCGACAGAACTGTGTCTACAAAGAAAGCGATACCTTGCGCGATAAAATTGTTTAATGGCTAGTTCGGACCGGTCCTCTAGAGCTGGAGGTTTTGTACAGTTGATGCACCTAACCTTGTAACAGTCTATTTGGTTTTGAGTAGATCAGTATGAAAAAAGGTCTTAACGAATTTAACCTTTAATCTGCGAGTTGTAAAATTCTTTTTAATATGACTTCCTTAATGCATCATTATACTACACAACAACAACTTCAAATTGCACAGCGACTACATGTTCCAAAGAAAACACTATCAATAGTGATAGTTTTATTATTCTGACGTATTCTGAACGATGTATAGATTGTGTGTAGTGTTTTGTAAATATTGAAGGCATGGAACACAACTATAATTCAAATGAATTTCAATTGTTATTTAGTAAATTTCTAAAAATATTCATCATATCATCAATTTAAAAGTTTACAAAAATTAATAACACTGAAATGTAAATTCATTGCCTATGATTAAAATTAATACCTTAAGCAAGAATGCACGCACTATATATTATTTCATTAAATTATGGAAAACTTTTTATCTACATACCTCATCTTTGCAATGTAATGAAGTAACCTTTTTACGTCGTCGTAAAAAATTAATGAATTTTTGAAGAAAAAAAATGTTTTTCCGCTCATTTCTCCCAAATAAACATTGATTTGGTGTTTTTTTTTTTGTATTTAATGTATTTACTTCAATAAAAGTTATTCATTAAAAGCGAGGATTATAAAAAGAATTTATGAAATATGTAAATTAGTGCAAGTTGTTACAAGCTTAGAATAATAACGCATAGAATGATAGTTTCATATCAAACGAACTGTCACAAGTGAGGCAAAAATCAAATTCATGTAGGCTAGTTTTAGTAGTAGGTTAATTTTCGGTTTTAGTGAATATTTATATAAAAATACAAGTTGAAACGCGTTACTTCCTTGTGGAATGTGATGTTAGTATCTATTTTATGTTTGTCTGACGTATTTTTACACTAATTTACCGCACATTTCGTCATTTTTAGCTAAAATTCTTGATCTGTTCGCGGTGCAAGTTGACCTTGAGCACTGAAGGCCCGCCCGCTCGTGTAGGCCCTTTGGGCGCGCTTCAATTTGCCTCACTTAGCGTGTGCGGACTAGGTTTCTATGCGTTATTATTCTAAGGTTACAAGGTTATATTTTGAAATGTCACAGGGATCATCCTAGATTATTTTTAGTATAGTGAATGACGATCAATCCCTAGAGTTTCTTGCTCGTTCTTCTCAGGGAAGTCAGCGTCATGAACGAGCAGTAGTTTAAATACGACGGTTTTAGGTAATGTAAATTTTACCAGCAGTAGAGCTCCCTGTGAAAGTGTTCGTCCAGGGAAGTACTGCCTTACATATTTCTGCCGCCAAGCAGTAATGTCAGCATTACTGTATTCCGGTTTTGAAGGATAAGAATGCTGGTGAAATTACAGGCACGCGGGACTTACTAAGATTGAGATCTTTGCGATTTAAAGCTCTGAGTGGCACTGTAAGTGTTATGGACAGGCAGCTTTACCATCAGGCGCACGCCTTGTTCGTCTCGTCACTTGATGTTATAATATAAATGTACACATATATTTTACCTATAGAATAAATGATCCTTTGTCTTTGACGTTTTAAGAAACTTTGTAAACCAATTTGATCTTTATTTACATTACGCAAATACAAATTTATATAAAAAGCTGGAATTCCTTTACATTTTCCTGTTGAATGAGTAAGAAGTCTCTCAGAACCAAAATGGCCGGCCAGTGGGTCAGGTATATTAGAGCATCGAATGTACTGGAACCTCTTACCGAAAGGTGAAATTCTGTAGCATTATTATAAATTAATTCAAAGGTATAAATTGTTCGACGAAATAATTGTGGGTTTTGCTCATTGCTGTTCCTGACAATGTCTTTCTGAAGTTTGTTACAAAGTATCTTTTTGGTTGCTTGTATTATTATAGTTTGAAATCACATAAATTTCACAAGCTATTGTAACATTGATTGTAATGAATAATGACATTTTATTACCACGACATTAATGTATTTTTTGTGAAATTAGTCGATTACTTTATTAATACAAAGATTACCCTGTGTTTTTCGCCCTGTTTTGGCACAGATGCAGGTTGAGTCCATTCCGATCGAAGGAATTTTTGTTTGTGTTCGATCTTTGTATATAATAATTATAACAAGTTATTGTCCAAGATTATTATACGCAAGCTTGAAATTACGTTACGGCAAAAAGCAGTGAAAAAAGAAAAAACAAAGGTTTGCAACAATCACACAGAAATATTCGTAAGGTCTGTTGGTTCGTTCCGTAGCTCGATTGGAAGAGTGTCGGCCTGGTATACAGAAGATGCTGGTTCCAATCCAGCCAGATCGAAGGAATTTTTCTTATTGTTCGTATTAATAATATTTTGTATTAATATTTTATATCAGACTTGGAGTAATTTCACAAAAAAACAAGTTACAACAAGTTAGAATCAAGAACGGACTTGGCTCTCGCAAGGTACACAGTGTGAGTGACGCGAGCCAGGACAAATCTGCGCAACAAGGCATTATTCGCACACTAAATCGAGTAGCCGAGGATAGGATAGGAAGATATTTTGCTTTGTTCATAATTCTGTCAGATTTTTTGTACATCATTGTACACGGCAAGTTTGTGGTCAATGCTCTGCAAGTCCAATTTAATAATGCATTCAGGGCACTGTTGCAGCTCCCGCGCTTGTGCAGCGCTTCGGGCATGTTCGCAGATGCGTACGCGGATGGCTTTGAAGCCGTTTGGCAAAAGAAAACTGCCTCGCTGTTGAACAGAATACGCGGGAGCTGTAACGGCGTCCTGAAAGCGATAGTTGATAGACCTTATTGCCCGTTGATGTATACACTCGCACAGAGGCCAATTTCATTGTTAGTTATTAAGTATTAATCAAGGGTAAGCTCTACTAACATTAAAATGGACCTTAAATGTTGTCTGAAGTAAATAACTTATTATTATTATATTATTTCATTATTAGAAATTGGCTTTTATTAAGTGTTATTAATTTTCAATATTAATTACTATCATTTTTAGTTATACTTTATTTATAATATCAAGTGACGGGACGAACAAGTCGTGCGCCTGATGGTAAGCAGCATAACAGTTGCAGTGCCACTCAGAGCCTTAAATCGAAAAGATCTGAGAGGCACTGCCATTGCGCCCGTCACCCTGAGAATTTGATAAGTCTTCAAAACCGGAACGCAGTAATGCTCACATTACTGCTTGGCGGCAGAAATAGGTAAGGTGGCAGTACTTCCCTGGGCGAACTCTTTTATAGGCTGCTCTATGGCTACTATTCAATATCATGCTAATAAAACATTGCGTTAAACAATAAAAGTTTACATCATAAGCTTTAAATTATTAAAATAAATTGTATTTTAAGGAAAAGCACCACAGACGGAACTCTACTAGACAAAATTTTGTGTAAGAGCTACTAATTAAAAGCAACGATAGTTGAGAGAAGGTGTGCTTAATGTGAAATTATTACCTATGGCTTTAATTTATTAATTTTCTTTTGTATTTTATATACGAATTTTGCCTAAAGGCCATACACATGTTGTTTCTGATTAATCGATTATGTAAGCT